GGGGGAAGTAATCAGTAATTAGTTACTGATTACTTTTTTCAAGTAACTTGACCAACACTGATTGTAAGTATATTTAAGTAGTTAGATCATTTTAAGTAGTTCCACTTTTCATAGTAATTTTGTAGAAAAACAAAATATAAAATACTTGAGTGTGAGCCATATTTTGGAATGGATTAATCTTGCCTTTTCACGGCTTTATTTTTTGAAAACTTTATTTAATTTGAGTTATGCTGATGCGCCGCTCGGCGTAGGAGGAACTAAGGGCTAAGTAATGCTGATCATTCAACTGTCCTTTTTTTTAAACAATATAAATGTGATAAGGACAGCTCTCCCTTACCAAGTAACAAGAAAAAATAAGTACTATCAAAATGTGTAGGGCTATGTGACCTCACAGTGATGGAGCCTAGTCTAACTTTTTTCTTGCACAATCACAGCTCAAACATAACTTTTAAAAGAGTGTACAGAAGTTGGAAGTACCTGGAAGTTAGACCAAGTATAGCCACTCCATAATACAGCCTGCCTCCCAAAAAGTCCAGTTCACTTATATTGTTTGTTTTCCCACAAATTACACCATACTTAAAATTACTTATGTGGTTCTTAAAATTACTTACAGTATAATTTATGTCTCCTTTCCTGCAAAATACCCAGAATTTAGGCACTAGTTAAATATACTTAGAATATAATTATTTCGTCTTTCCTGTAAGTCGAGTGATGCTTAAAACTACTCATACATGACCTAAAATTACTGCTTAAGTTATAATTATTTCTTTGTCACCTGCAGAAACTTGACTTGTTCTAGTATACCTACCTTTAAGTATTTGTAGATAAATATAATAACACTGAAAAAAAATACATTCGTTGAAGATCGATTTCATTACAGGAGAATTGCGGCTTTGGTTCGGGCCGTGAGCGTTATCCCCATCTGTGGCTGGTAAGTGCACGTCTACATCTAGGTGTTATTTAACTGAGGGCCGGATGGGGCAGTGGTGCTCCTACGCGCCCGCTTAATCAACCGCGCGTATCATGCGCAAAGAAGAACAACTGACCACTCTCGACGCGGCTCGGCGGCTGTGCTACTGTAAACACCGGACGAGCGATTTTTTTTCAGGTAAATGTATTTATTAACACGAGTTTACACGCTGTAGAAGTAGTCGTTTTTATTCTTAAAGTTGTTGCCGTAACGCTGTCGCTGTCTGTCTTTTCTCAGTCGACTCGTTGTTATGGAGCGATGCTTTAGGTAGGAAGAGCACAAGAAAGCGCTTAACTAAGCTACTAGCTTCTCCGTTCATCACAAGCTTTTATTCGCAGTTAGCTTTGCTGCTGTGGTGCCTTTAAGGAGTGAAATTAAAAGTTTTTCTACGTAGGGTTGAAAAAAGGGGAGCAGTAAATTAGAGTATGCTTGTTTTGTTTCTTTTTTAAATTATTGTTATTATTACGATTATTGCTAATATTATTATTATTATTATTGTTATCATCATGCTGGCTAAGGTGGAAAAAAATGTAGCAACTTAAAACGTCCCTGCTTATCAGCTATATCCAATATCAGCTCGCTGGCATTTCTCAGGAGTTGAGAGCTTAACAGTAACATTATGTGTTATTGCTTTGGCCTCATGCTATGCCTCATTTACATGAGATTGAGATGCATTTCCCAAGACATACAGGTATTATTTGATGTAGTTCTGAACTTGCCAAATACTTGCCTGTCATTTCAAGAGAAGAAGAATAAATGTTACCCCTCTTTATAGTAATGTAACTGTTTAAAAAACAAACTTTGTCTATTTATCTTTAATATATTTCTTGTCTTGTCTAAAGCGACAGCAGGGATGGTTCTTCTGGCTCCACGCCACCACCACCACCATCGCCTCCTCCTCGGGTCCTCCCTTCCCCTCGTCATCCCCCTCCTGTGCCCTCCTCCTCTCCCCGATCATCCCTGACTCCTCCTACTTCCCAGCTAGGAAGACTGAATTTTGCAGGAGCGGTGATGGATGTCAGTAAATGGCCCCTGTTCTACCTGCTGAGTGCTCAGGAACTAGCTACAGTGCGACAGGCCTGTGTCTTTGGCACCACTGCCAATGAAGCAATCTATATCACCCATGGAAATGAGGTGAGGAGTGCACATTTGATAGTTTCTGTTTATGATATGAGCTCGTTAAATAGCACTCGAATGATTGTACTTGTTTTGTCTTCCTTATATTTGTGCCTGAATCTAATTCTGACTTTACATGAAGTGTGTCGTTTGCTCTGTAGTTACGTGACAGTTTAAACAACAGGAAAACGTATGACGCTGATGGGGTTTGCTGTGTGAAATGCCTCCAGTGCGCTTTTTATGTGAAGGTTTATTTCATAAGCGTGTGTTTTGTGGGGAAAGAAAAAATATGCCGCAGGAGATCCTGCATTGTTTTCACTTTCCTGTTTGAATGCCACCATACCAGAGCACAGCTGATCTCAATCAAAACACATAAGTCACACAATGAGCATCTATTTGCTTTTTGTTTGTTGATAACTTACAACACAGCACTTTCAATGTGTATCTGCACTGTGTCTCTGTATTTTGAAATGTGTGTTACTGTTTCCAGGTATTTGTGTTGGGGTTAAACTGCAGTAGCTGCCTTGGTACAGGAGACAGTCTGAGCTCTGTTATGCCGAAGAAACTGGACTTCCTGCGAGGGAAGAAGGTAGCCAGTGTGAGCTATGGCAGCGGACCTCATGTCCTATTGGCTACTGACGGTAGGCTGTTTTTTTTATATTTATACAATGTTTTCATCCTGCTGCATAAGCATTTCACTGTATAGTCATGTGCTCAATATTGGTCAATTTCTACAGAAAGGTTGACTTTTTTCTATTGAACAGTGGAAATGTCACTAATATGAGCTTAACCCTTTCATGCATAGTGGTCACTACAGTGGACAGCTATTCAAAGGCTGTTTTCTTGTATTTGTGTCAGTGTTGATGGTATACTTGCACATAAACCACTACATTGGACACTGATGTGTCAGTCCATACACATCAGTTGTATGCACATCAACTGATGGACATACAATGTATACACATCGATGTGTATACATCGATGTATACATCGATGTATACACATCGATGTATACATGTGTATACATCGATGTGTATACATCGATGTGTATACATCGATGTGTATACATTGTATACATCGATGTGTATACATCGATGTGTATACATCGATGTGTATACATCAACCCTTTGAAAAGGCAAAGCAAGTTTATTTATACAGCACAATTCAACGGCAAGTTGATTCAAAGTGCTTTACAGAGACATTAAAAAAACAAAAACAAATAAAAAGCATGATTTACAATGGGGGGGAAAAGGAACAGTAGATAAAATCAGTAGTTAAAATGTAAGTTTTGAAATTTAAGCTTAAAAGTGTGGATTTGGTGCTTTATTCAAATGCAGCTGAGAACAGGTGAGTCTTCAACCTGGATTTAAATAAACTGAGTGTTTCAGCTGATCTGAGGCTTTCTGGGAGTTTGTTCCAGATATATGGAGCATATAAGCTGAATTCAGCTTCTCCGTGTCTGGTTCTGACTCTGGGAACTGATAAAAGACCGGATCCAGATGACCTGAGGGATCTGGAAGGTTCATACTGGGTCAGCAGGTCACTGATGTATTTTGGTCCTAAACCATTCAGAGCTTTATAGACCAGCATAGGGCTGCTCGATTATGGCAAAAATGATAATCACGATTATTTTCACTGAAATTGAGATCACGATTATTTGACGATATTTATTTAACCCTTTAAGACCTACCATAGAACCAAGTCCACCAGAGCTTATATTATTTTTTTTTTTACATGTTGTAGTGCCATTTGTGGGAGCATTTCAAGTTGCTATACATCAATACAACTGTTATAGCCCATATTTTAATAATATGTATGCATTAAGTCCATAGTAATTACATAAATTGCAAAAAAGTGCAATAAACTACAAAAAAAATTGAAAATCGCTTTTGTTTTGTTTACATATATTTCTACTTGGAGAAATTTAAGAGGTTTATCCCTCAAAACTTTAAATACAATAAAGTTGCAAAAAAATAGTTTCCCACCACAGGAAATTTATTTTGAGTGTCTTCATAGTTTTATTTTGGAGATACAGCAATTTTTATATACTGCAGGAAAAACAAAAAACAATCCTATGATGCAAATTTGCAAAGAAAACAGCATGTGCATCATTTCACTGTGGGAAGTGTTACGAACAGCTGACAGGAACGGTAAAGCGTGTTTCTGGAATATTATGTTTTTGTTCCTGCAAGCGGTTTTTATGCAATTTTTGCAAAGCTTTATGTGGAACGAAACCGTGACCGAGGACAAGCTGATGGCATCAGATGTAAGTACAACTCCTCCGGTTTCATATGCAAAACAAATTATTGCGCTAGCTTACACGGTTCAGATTCTACAGGGATTTAAAAATAGTTACGCAAAACGGAGCGTGCTGCTCTGACTGGCTTTAAAGGGTTAACAATGACTTTTAAAAAATAATATAAAATAGTGTGCAACACCACTGAAGTTTTTTTTTTAAACTCTCTTTTCAACCAACGGCAGTCACTCTCCAAATAACTTCTGCTTAGCTTTCCGAGCTTCCCTCGGGTCCTCTTAATCAGCGGTCTCAAACCTTTTTTGCGCCACGGACCGGTTTATGCCCGACAATATTTTCACGGACCGGCCTTTAAGGTGTCGCGGATAAATGAGGGAGGGGCTAATAATCGGCTCAGTCATTTTTAATGATCGTTGAAAGCCCAGATCGTAATCGTGATTAAAATTCGATTAATTGAGCAGCCCTAGACCAGCATCAGAACTTTAAAGTCTATCCTCTGACGGACAGGCAGCCAGTGTAAAGACCTCAGAGCTGGACTGATGTGGTCCACTTTTTTGGTCTTAGTGAGGACTCGAGCAGCAGAGTTCTGAATGAGCTGTAGTTGTCTGACTGATTTTTTTAGGTAGACCTGTAAAGATGCTGTTACGGTAATCAAGCCTACTAAAGATGAATGCTGAATGATGAATGGACTAGTTTTTCCAGGTCCTGTACATGTAAAAAAATAAAAAAATAAATAAGTAAATGTTTAAAAAAAATAAGTTCAAAAATCTTTTTTTCATACCTAAAGATGAATAAAAATCCTGATTCAGGTTGTCATAATTCATGCATGAAAGGGTTTACCTGAACTAAAAAATGTGCTAATAACATAAATAGAAACTCAGACACTGTATAACCAAAACCTGTATAACATTGACAGCTTAAATTTGTTTTTATGTGTTGCAGATGGACATCTGTTTGCATGGGGTCACAATGGTTACAGTCAGCTGGGGAATGGGTCGACCAACCCGGGACTCTCCCCCGTGTTGATCACCGCTAACCTGCAGAACAAAAAAGTGAAAGAGGTGTCGTGTGGCTCACATCACTCTATGGCTCTCACTCTGGATGGAGAGGCAAGTCCTTTTTTATATATATTTTTTAAATTACCGTTAAATGTGTTTAGCGTGTCTTTTCCTGTCTCGCTCTGTTCTCTTCTTTTCCCCTCACCCCCAGCTGGTCCTGGCAGATGCTTCTCCCTGAACCTGGTTCTTCTGGAGGTTTCTTCCTGTTAAAAGGAAGTTTTTCCTTCCCACTGTCACCAAGTGCTTACTAGTGGGGATCAGCTGAGTGATTAGGTTTTCTCTCTATTATTGTACAGTCGTAACCTTACAATATAAAGCATATTGAGGTGACTGCTGTTGGGATATGGTGCTGGATGGTAAACAGTTTCCATTCTCTCTTAAACAACAAAATAAAAGAGCAGGGATGGCAATAGTAGGTAATGAAAAGGAATATGTGGCACACATAATTAAATTAAATTAATAAAATATCATCAAATATGACTGAAATTAGAATATTCTTATTTTTATGTACCACTCTAAATAAAAAGTTTAGCCCTAAGGGGTCACCCATATATACCTTGACCTGCCACCTTGAGGCCTTTAGGTGTCACACTAAGAAGTTTGTCTTTAACCCAGCGGCATTAAAGCTAATGGGGTTGTTTGTGTGGTAAGCTGGAAAGGCTGTTGCCATTTAAAATATTACTAAGTGTACGTTAAGTATTGCATCCTTTTCCCAGTTTGTTCATGTACATTCAAGTTTTTCTGTTTGAGATGTTACTCAAACAGAACAACTCAGCATCAATAACATCATTCTGAGAAAGGTGTTTTTTCTCACACTACAACATTGTCAATCCTCTCTAGGTCTTTGCATGGGGATATAATAACTGTGGCCAGATTGGTTCAGGCTCCACAGCCAACCAACCCTACCCCAGGAAGGTCACCGGATGCCTGCAGGGCAAGAATGCATCGGGCATCACATGTGGGCAAACCTCCTCTATGGCTCTTGTCGACAATGGAGAGGTGATGTTAAATAAATTCTTAGTGATCTCATTGAGAAATCTGAACTTGATGTGGTAAACAGGGTGGCTTTTATTTCTCTTTAGGTTTACGGCTGGGGCTACAATGGAAATGGGCAGTTGGGAATTGGCAACAATGGAAATCAGCTGACACCTTGCCGTGTCGCTGCACTCCAAGGGATGTGCATTCAACAGGTGAGACATCCAACAACCACATGAATGAGTTTTTAATATCAATAATTTCCTTGAGGATGACTCATGATTTGTGCTGACATCTGATTGGGTAATTTTTTTTATCAGCCGCATTTAAATCCATCCCTACCTTCCAGATTGTATCGGGCTATGGACACTGCCTGGCCCTAACCGATAAAGGGCTGCTATATGCCTGGGGAGCAAATACCTATGGTCAACTGGGAACTGGCACCAAGAGCAACCACCTCAGCCCTGTGCACATCATGGCTGACAAAGAGAGGTAGGAAGGAGAGGGAAGGGTGTCGGACGTTTCCTGTTAATATTTAGTTTCCTGTCCTCATTTCCTCCCTCTGTACCTCTGCCTCCACTCCTGGTCTTAAGTAGTCGTCTGCAGTAAACAAAACAATGCTCTTTCCCTAATTGTAGATATTTTGGAGCAAATCATGCCACAGCAAAACAGCTTTCAGACTTTTGACATGTTTCAGTACAATAATTAAGAAGGAAAAGCTTCCCTGTGTCTCTAATTTGGCAGGGTCGTCGAGGTGGCAGCATGCCATTCGACACACACGTCGGCAGCCAAGACCCAAAGTGGGCAGGTATAGCATTCATCTTTCAAAGTGATGCACAGTCTTGTATTTCTTTGGTTTCTGGAATTCTTTATTCTAAAAAAAAGACAAAAAAAAATCCAGAGGACAGTTCATATACACAGGTCTGCCTGGAACAAGTTTTGTCATGTTGCTACTGGACTGTTTTCATTTGTGGCATTATCATTTCACTCCTCCTCCAGGTTTTTATGTGGGGTCAGTGCCGGGGCCAATCCATTGTCCTGCCACACCTCACGCACCTCACCAACACAGACGACGTCTTTGCCTGCTTCGCTACGCCATCCGTTATGTGGCGCCTCATGTCTATGGGTGAGAGAAGAGACAACAAATTGTGGATTATTTGTGTAAAAAACAAACAAAAATGAAAGCTGTCTAAGTACTAGAACTGTTTCTACTGCGGGGGGGGGTTTTCTTCTAGAGCAAGATGACTTCCTGACGGTTGCAGAGGCTCTGAGGAAAGAGTTCGACAGTCCAGAAACGGCTGACCTCAAGTTCAGTGTTGATGGCAAATACATCCACGTTCACAAAGCCGTGCTGAAGATCAGGTGTGTTTATTATCCACATAGCTATAAGTGAAAGATAGCCTTGATGCATTTGGTAGCTGTGCTTTGTTTCAGGGCAGTTAAGGCAGCCTGTGATTTTTGTTGGCAGCCCTTAACATGTCAGGTTTTGACTATTTGACCATTTGTATACATTGTAAATAAAGTATTTTTATCGCGGCTAGGTGCGAGCATTTCCGTTCAATGTTTCGCTCCCAGTGGACGGAGGATCAGCAGGAAGTGATAGAGATTGGCCAGTTCTCGTATCCCGTCTACAGGTCCTTCCTGCAGTTTCTTTACACAGACACTGTTGACCTTTCGCCTGAGGATGCCATTGGTTAGTATGAATGCAACTGTTAAATATGTTCTTAGAGTGTGTAGAAGGATGTTTTTTTTTGACACTGTGTGTGTTTGTGTGTTGTGCTGCAGGCCTGTTGGACCTGGCCACCTCTTATTGTGAAAACCGCCTGAAACGCCTGTGTCAGCAGATCATCAAGAGAGGAATCACTGTGGAAAACGCCTTCACCCTGCTGTCTGCTGCCATACGATACGACGCAGAGGTACAGTTATAAACAGGTTTGTCAGGTGGATAAGCTGAGGTGGTAGATAAATTCACATTTTGGACGGGACGACCAAAATGTTTGTGTGCCGTGAGCTTGTGATCTTGTTGCATTTAAAATAATTGCTTTAAAGACGTGGATCAGGTCTGCGACGACTCACAGTCAGTGTCAATCTTCAAAAATGACTTGGGTGCAATAAAACTGCAATACGACAGTCAGTCTGCTATCAGTTTGAGCTTGGGTCAAGGCTGCAATTACATGCAATCTGTTTGTGATAATATAGTGATTAACTGTAATAAACTGGCCAAAATGAAGGCCGTGCACACATATATAAACAGAAATTTATATTAACTGCACACATTCAGAGTCAGAACCTCAGACACCTGAACAGAAATTCCTCCAGAATTCGTGACGTTGTTGCTGCAGGGCAGCAATTTCACAGCAGCCGCTCAGCAACCTTGCTGTGTAGAAGAATGCAAGCAGTCGAGTCGGGTCCTCTATTATACTGATCAGCGCACTCACACGGTGATTGCAACATGTTGACAATCAGTCTGTGTTTAAATATTAGACAGCTGTTATTTGCAAACCTTCACCAGTCTGTCTGAGAGTGATGGCAGTCTGCCCGAGTCTGCACTATGGTATAGCAGCAAAGGAAAACTGTCAGGGATTACAAGGTTTAACACCCTGTAAAATAAGCATCGGAATGTTTGTTCTTTCTTTTGCAATCTAATCTCCTTATTATTTTTCTATTGTTTGATTTTCCAGGACCTGGAAGAGTTTTGTTTCAGGTTTTGCATAAACCACCTGACTCGGGTAACTCAGACCGAAGCCTTCTGGCAGGTAGACGGAGCAATGCTGAAGGAGTTTATCAGCAAAGCGAGCCGCTGTGGAGCCTTCAAGAACTGAGTGGTGCTTTTAGGCTCCTGCGACCTAAAAAAGAAAGAAAAAAACCAACTAATGACCAAGTGGATTTGGTCACGCTGCGTGTGCAGCAGCAGAATGCAACACCACAGTTTTCACATTCCTGTTGATCCCATCCACGACAAAAGAGGAGGCCCTTTCTTGAAATACTTATTTATATATACTTTAAAGAAGCACTTAAACAACATTATTCACAAGATGCTTAAACTGGATTTTAAGCTGCGTTATCTGTGGATCTAAAATGAGCACTTTGGCCAAACCCATGGCGCCTTTTCTGTGGAAGTTCTTTACATATGTTACGTATACTTGAATTTTTTTTATTTTTTCTCAGCAGCGTTTGCTTTGTTCATTTACTTTCTGGAAAAGTTCATGTGAGGGACCAAAGATCTGGAAGGAATAAACTACTGACCTAATCTAAAGAGATGAACACTGTAATGTAAACATGTTTCACACACTCAGCAGTAGAGCCCAATTTATTGGTGAATTGATTGCATTGGTTAATTGCCAGTCTGTTAGTGTTTGCGTTCATACAGGAAAACTTAAGAAAGTAACGAGGAGATGGGAGAAAGACCCTTCTACCATGTTATGATTGCTGACATTGCATAGTTTGTCCACCAGCTGACACAGGGTAAGTTTGGCATTACCTGTTGGAGCACCTAAAGCTGATCTGAGCAGAGTAAATAACGTAGCAATTTAGGGAAATTGATTTGTTGAGTTTCTCTGAAATGAAAAAAAAAAAAAATATTGACCAATATATCAGACTGTAAGATTTTTGAATCACCAAATATCTGTATCAGCCTTAGATATCTTATATAAGTCAGGCTCTAATTTGGTATTCAGCAGCTCTTTGTATTTAACTCAAAGCAACTGATTGATAAAGACAGACTCATACATATACATGACATACACAGCTGATGCAGAGCCTTCTGTGGTTTGTTATGAGTTGCTTGCTTGGTAAATGTCCTTTGTACATTTTGGGAAGTTAAGACCTGTTATACTAGGTGTGTTCATTCTGCCTCACATTTCCTCTGCAGCACTACAGTAATCTCTTTATATTCCGTAATACTAAGAGGTTGATTTTTTAAGCTTATTCAAAAATCTATGGAATATATAGACTGAGAAAGTTGCGCTTTTCAGTTAAGAAAAATAACCGTCTTTGGTAAAATTACGACATTAGCTCCTTTTTTTCTTCCATTGCAAGTAAAATGTGTTGTATCTAAGGCATGTTGTACTGTGGAAACTTGCTCAGGTTTCCGCATTATTAGCATTTTCATCATTACAGATTGGTTTCTGTGTTCGGGCAAATTAAAAATAAATCTACAAAAGTACTTAAGAGGAATTCATCTTAGTTTCTGTAGGTTTTTCTATATATGGAGCAGAAATTGCACTAAACAAAGCTACAGGATACATTGCATATTAAAGAAAGAGGAATGCTTTGAAGCACTTTTTTTCATTCTTTCACTTTGTCGTCTGATGACCAAAAACTAGCCTTTAGGACAACATGTCAACCATGCCGTCTCCCAGTAAAGCCAATGTGAGATCAGTTTCTATTTCCTTGATGTACTCAGATGCTTGAGGAGGAGTTTCTGTTCGCTCCAACTAAAGCAGAACTGCTATTTATTATTAAGCACAGCTTCAGTTCAGGCTGGAAAGTAATTTAGGATGCTTTGAGAGCTTCTGTGGAAATCATTGTTTTCGGGAAATGAGGTCTAGGTTTACAGTTTCTGCTTGTCTTGTTTTTTATGAGCTGTTCCTTCATTTTTATTTTTTTTTTTATGAAGTAATTTAAACTGGAAGAGTAAAACTGATTTGCATATTGTATTCACACACACACACACACACACACACACACACACACACTCACTCACTCACTCACACTCTCTCTCTCTCTCTCTTTGTTATACTTTCATCGTTTAGGAGAAGTTTATAAAACCATTAGGTCCATGCTTATATTCAGCTTACAGCATTGCAGTGTTTGGGGTATGCATTATTATTCTGTTGCTGTTACATACTTGAGACATACTGTATTATTTTACTTTTTTAATTTAGCTATGGGGATTATATTTCTGTGATGAAATAAATATTTCTTAAATCTGATTTGTTCACTTGTCATAACTATTTTTGTTCTTGTATATTTTTGTAATTTTTTTTTATTCTCTAGCTCTTTATTGGCTCTTTGATGCAAACAATTATGTTTTATGGCAAAATGATAACGTGAAAAATATACATGCAAATAGAATGATATAACATCTATAAATCAAAATTATAGATGGGAATGTGAGATTTTAAAAATAATATATCAGTTAAGGAAATTTTTTATAAAAAGTGGTACATTTTGGTGAAATTTTAGTAGATTTTTCATTAATAAAATGTATAAAAATGAAATGTATTTATCAATAAAAATGACAAACAGTATCCCACATTCTTGATTTTTAGTTCAAAAACGCTTTGTAACAGTCACAATTGTGTGGTGTGTCTTTAAGACAACGTAAGGTAAGGGTTAGTGATGTCACAGGTATGCGCCACTGCTCTCTGTGGAGAATGAGAGCAATGTGCTTGCACGTGAGTGTATGGGCTCGGAAAAGTGTATGGGCTTAACTGCTTAAGTTTAGCAGTTGAAATGATTGTACTTTGTTGCGTGCTCACAGCCAACCAATTGGCCCCGCCCATGTGACCGCGTCAGAAAATATTTCCGGAAGGAATCCGGAACTGTCAAGATACCGTCCACTAGCGAAGTCACAGAAGAACGGCTCCTTCTCCTTTAAATAAGAGGGAGGCAGTTTCTGCTTGCGGTAGAAATACATGAAGTTACGTTCGTCCAAGTATTTATCGGCTATACAGTGTTTTATTAAGAATCATTGTAACGTAATACGCGAGTTAGTGCTAGTAATGTTAGCACTGTAACACTGTAACTTAAAAAGTCGCCGGTTGCTGAGAGTTACCGTTACTCATCGGATTTCAACGTGACTTTAACTAGTCGTTATAAAAAAAAATATTCTGAAGTGTAAGTTCATATTTGTACGTGAATTTCTTTATTGGTGCAACTTTATTTACCAAATCGGTGTCTTTTTATGCTTTTATTTTGAAAGCGTCGGTTGAAAATAGTATTCATGTGACTATCCAACTTAACAGTAAAAAGGATACCAAAAGAAAGCTTCATCCGGCTCTTCTCTTGCTGAACGTCGGGTCGACGTATTATATCGTTTTCTGTAGCTGACAGATTGATTGAATGGAAGAAAGCCAAATATGGAACCGAGCCGATCCGGGCCGGTCCACACCGTGTCGAGAAACAAGAGACAGCAGCACCCAGACTGACAGCAAAATACAAGGTGAGCCAACTGGAGGAAGAGTTCTTCCAGTAGTTTAGCTTCATATTTTTCCCTTCTGTCATGCCACAAAACCGCAGCTTCATGAGATACAGTTTACCAGAGAGGCACTTTAAATGGCCACGGCTGACAGCCTTTATTTACACATTACACAATGCTGCATATATTTATCTTAGACTTGGCCGATCATCTTATCCTATTCACATTATATGGCAAAATCCCCATCCTCAGATCAATAGACATAGGTCTTTACCTGCGTGTATCTGAAATAAATGTTATATTTTTCTAAGTCTCAGTCAACAGGCCAGGTTAGCTTCGGTGGGGCCTTTAAACCATGCAAACATTAGTAATCTTCATGGTATATATTCTCATCCAAGCATGTGTTACTGCAGCTTTTCAGGAAAGCATTGTGCACAAGATGGCTTAATTCAGCTTTGTCTCTGCTTCAGGTCATGGCCCCAGGTTGTCAAAGGTAAACCTCTTCACCTTGCTGAGTTTATGGATGGAGTTATTCCCTCAGGAGCAAACAGAGGAGGATGGTGGTAATCAGGTTAGTTTGAATATAAAAACACAGTGATGTATGCAATCTAGGGAAAAAATCATCAAGTTCTGTGGAGCGATTCATGTCCATCTTTACTAGCACTTGTGTGTAAAATTAATAACTGTATCTGTACTGTGCTTCAGCTCCATGGGATGGGTCTGGTGGTGGTGCGGGAAAGCAAAGTGGTGGGACTTCATTGTTCAGGAGCTGAGCTCCACGCTGGACAGGCAGCCATCATCCAACATGGTGCTCGCCTGGCTGACTGTCAACTGTACTTCTCGAGGAGACCCTGCGCTACTTGCCTGAAGATGATCATTAACGGTGAGTGGAGAAGGAGACATGATGCAGGAATGAGTAGACGGCATTAAGGGAGCCTAAAAACAACACGCAGCGTGAATGTGTTTCTGTGTCACACTCTCAAATAACGAGATGTTTTTGATCAGGCAGAACTACATATCTTGGACCAATGGCCTGCTTTATAAACATAGTTATGACACAAATTCATCAAAAATGCAATGTGACATGTACGCCCCACTGATTATGACTGATTGTGATTGCATGAACCAAAGTACCTGCCCTTCTGTTGTCTCACCCTTACACGTTCCAGCCTCTGTGTGTTTTGGAGTCCACCACATTGCTGTCACTTTGAGGCACCACCCTAACTGTAGTCAGAATAACTGCAGCCTTTCTGGTACTGCACCTCCTTTCTTTTACTTTCATTTACTTTGAAGTGGACCTGTTTTATAAGACTTGGCGAGCAGCCTCTTTATGATCAGATTGGAGGAATGACACATTGAGAAGTGAACACACTTAGAAACTCAGGACAGACTTTGACACCATAATGATATATTTATTTACTGTGAGCGTATGACTGAATATGTCCCACAGGTGTTGCCGTACTGTTGTAAACTGCATTATCGGCATTAAACTACATCAGCAGTTTGCTGAACTTTGGAGCTCTGTTCTCTCATTCCCGGGCAAAGTTAACTAAGATGGATAAATGCTGTTTGCTCTCCTCCTCCAGCTGGAGTCAGTCAGATCTCCTTCTGGCCCAGGGACCCTGAGATCAGCATTCTGAAGTCCACCTCTATGAACAATCCCAGCTACTGCGGTCCAGCTCACTTCATCTCAGAGGAAGCTTTACTAGACGCTGTAGCAGTAGAGAAGCTCAAGTCCAACAGCCGTCCTCACATCTGCATGCTGCTGCAGCCGCTGGCACCCGGCCTGGCACAGTTTGTCACCGAGACGTCCAGAAATTGTGACTTCACAGAGAGGATCACTGATGACGACCCAAAGCAAAACACAGAGGAGCTTTTCAACAGGTACCTTACTATACTTACTGTATCTGCTTCTGCACAGCAGCACTTTTGAGCTATGTGCTGAATTCTCTTTCTAATAAGTTATACTCAGTTGCCTGGTATATTTTAGAGGGAAACCCAAGGAGGTTCTCGACACGCACCAAAAAAACTCCAAACAAACTGAACCTGAAGCAGAAATCTCAGCTGATGAGAACACCAGATGGTTAACTCAAGAAAACGGAGGGAAAAAAAAGTCCAGTTTTCATAAATCAGTGTCAAACAATATAAAATAAATGTGCACATCATTATTTATATTACAGTGTAGTGTGCTAAAGTGCATCAAAACAAATGAAGTCAAAATAATTGTTTGCTTTGTAACTGTAGTGACTGCAGAATTAACTTAAATATGAGAATGACGTGGCAGAGAGAAACCTGAAATCTGTATCTGATTCATGAGAGCAGAGTAAATGTATAGAACCAAATTATTTCAGCTGTGTGGTTATGAATACAACAGTCGTAGGACGGTTATTGCTTTCCTAACACTTAAATTCCTGACGTAGGTTTGATCAGAATTAAAGTGTGGGGTTTGGCAGGTAGATATTAAGAATAAACTCGCTTGATGTTATTATGTATAAAACCGCCCACTATATATTTGTATTTTTTACTTAATATTTAAAGGTGCTGGAACTCTGTTGCATCCTAGTTTAACCTCTGGTCAGACTTCAGCCATCAAAGGGCAAGAAAACCTGTAGATGAGGCACAAAGCAAAGATTATTCTGCAGAAATAATTAGAGAACGTCTTTCATCTTTAATTTAACCAGACTGAGAAGGAGAAATATTTATTGAGTGAATCAAACTCAAGTTGCGAAACTGCTGGATGACCACAGCTGGATTTTCAGCCCGTTTATAAGAAATATTCTGTGTCGTTCCAGAGAACGAATGAGATGCCTGAAGGATTTCTCCAGACAGTTCCTGGTTCGTAAGTCCCAGCTGCATCAGGAGATTTTGAAGCACATGGGCCTGGAGAATTTTTGTGTGGAGCCTTACTTCTCCAGCCTGAGAAACAACATGAGGGAGCTTGTGGAAGTTTTAGCTGCAGTGGCTGCCGGGGTGCCACAGCAACACTACGGCTTCTACAGGTTAGAAACTCTCAAATTTATCTGTTTGTCAGCACAGACATCGCCACGCGCTTGTACTTGACGCTCATTTGATCGTGTCCCTTCTGTGAACCAGGGAAGAGTCGTCAGTGCCACTGCCCCCTTGTCATGAAGATGTGCCCCAAGAAGTGGCTCGGCACTGCATGATCCAGGCCAGGCTACTGGCCTACAGGACAGGTGTGTTTGGTTATTCATAACACACACTACATTCTTCTACATTCTATTGCATATTGCCTGACAAGCATCATAACAACTGCTGTTTGGCTGCAGGACTTTTTCCTGAGTGATGTCGTAAAGGTTATGATCATTTCTAACAATGACCCTGTCAATAGTTTGCTATTTGTTTCCAGCTTCTTATACATGCATAACTGTCATTTCAGAGGATCCTAAAGTGGGTGTGGGCACTGTGATCTGGGCCAAAGGACAGTCGGTGAGCTCAACTATTCTCCTTTTCATTTGATTTAACTTGTTAATTCATCACAAGAGTAGACTGTTGGCATTTCTGTGTGCCGGTTCGGGTAGGATTTGACACCAGATTACAAGGTGACAAACTGACAAAACCTAATAACATCAGGCTCGTACAGAAGGAGTTTTTTTTTCTTTTTTTTTGTCTGCACAAAATTGGATTATATAAATCCATTTATGGATGATTGTATTAATGCATTGAGGTTTTCAGTGTGGGTGGATGCAGTTGTGACAAATGTCATGATGATGAGCCCAAAATGTTCAAATAAATCCTAACGCGTTCCTCAGTAGCGGCTGCTCTCTCTGGACAGTTTGAGATGGTGAGTGTTTTTTGACAAAGAGAGAGAGAGCTCAGTGTGGAAGAGGTCAGGAGACGGGTACAACAGTGAGTGTCCACACTCATCTGTAAAACACAGTCGAGGCCGTGTTGTGATTTGGGGCTGCTTTTCAGCCCGTGGTATAATGCAGATGGAATTAAGAACACTTTATTTCATCATTTAAAGCAGAGCTACCGATAGAATTAACACCCACACTGATGTTGTTAATGTAGTATTTTGATCTGTCCCCTCATCTCAGGCTGGCTGTAACGGAACAGGGTGTCTCTACCTGGTGGGCTGTGGGTACAACGCTTACCCCGCAGGTTCGCAGTACGCCGAGTACCCTCAGATGGACGCCAAACAGGAGGATCGCCAGAGACGTAAATACAGATACATTATCCACGCAGAGCAGAACGCCCTCACCTTCAGGTCAGAACTTGTCAGAAATGGCGGGAGGGGAAACATGAATGCAGAAAATCAGTGTTCATCATCGCTTGATGTGTTCCTCCTCCTTTCAGGACACGAGACATCAAACCGGATGAGCCAACCATGCTTTTTGTAACCAAGTGTCCATGTGATGAGTGTGTCCCTCTGATCAGAGGAGCCGGTATCACACACATATACACCTCTGACCAGGACCGGGACAAAGATAAGGGAGATATTTCCTACCTGCGATTTGGCACCCTAAAGAACATCAGCAAGTTCATAGTGAGTCCACAATGTTTTTCTTGTTTTGTTTTTGTTCCCTTTTATTTCATACTGTTTATGTTTGATGTTTGGAGTATATCAAACCTCCATCAATGTAGACATTTCTGCAGCTACAGTAAAGTCCAGGCTGCAGAAAGGGGTCATTACTTCAGCAAACATAGCAAACGTAGACTCGGAAAATATGTTGAAAAGGGAGATGTATGTTAATTTATTCTGGTGCATAAGGGGATCTCTGATTCAGCAGCTTCTGGATGTCTTGCTTTTTGAAGATAAGGCTAACATGTCCTTAAAGAATCTGACATTTATCTGTCCTCACAGTGGCAAAGAAGCCCTTCAGTGTCCTCAGCGCCACCTTTTCATCTTGCCAGTAAGTGGCACCCTATGCCTTTTTTTATTTTAACCATCTTCACAGATACATTACAGAAAGGAGTTATGAATCAGCCAATTTTCCTTTGCTGATTCGAGTTTTAACCACAGTGCCATTTATTGCAGACGGTTGTGTCGGAAAGCACAGCAGACAGACTGAGAGTGAGAGCCCCAGCAACAAGAAGCTGTGCACCAGCATGTCCTGCGAATCACCTGCTGTGAGCCGTCGATAAATCCACGTACCTAAAAAAAACACCCCCCACAGAGGCAGGTTTTAAACTTGCGTGCCACAGATTTGATCGTTCACAGCTGTAATAAATGGAGCTAAATGTTGTTTCCTTCATGAGCATCAAATCTGTGGCACATATGATTTTACACATATGTATCTTTTCCAAGTCCGGTCATTACATGAGTGGAGAGTTGGAAACAAACTCAAATCAATGCAATGCAATGACCTCAAAGGGACACCACTAAAAGCAGATTAATAGATCCATCGAAGATTAAAAAAATAGGTACAGAAACTATGGACAATTTTTTTTTTTAAGCGTTTATAAGATACCACAAAGAAATAATTTATTTAAAATAGTTATTTAAACTGTGATATGCAGATCTGTTTGTTTTTGAAACAAATGGAGGGGGGAAAGCTAATTATAAAAATCTAAATAATGAAAAAGTGTGAGATTAACAACACATGCAGCTCCTGGTTGTCCAGGATTGTCCTCACGGTACAGAACGGTTTGAAATAAATTACTGCTTTTATTTTGAAGGCAGCTGCTGTGAGAGTGTTTGAAAGATGTGTTTCACACTGTGAGGATGTTATTGTTTTTAAACGCAAGCCAAATGCACTGAAGTGAAGCGTGTTGAGGATATGGATAATGCTTGAATGAAAGTTTAAAAAGTGTTCCTGCAGAGCAGAGAGGACGGTCAAAGGTTTGGTTTTGGAGCGTGAAGGAATTTACTCGACTTTACCAACTTTAATTTTCTACATGAACACACTTGTTTGTATTCTTTTTTTTTTTTTTTTCGTTCAGGTATAGTAAACACAGGTTTGTGTTTTTGTAACTTGAGTCCGAATCACAGAAAAGGCAGTAACTGTGATTACTGCATACTCTGAAAAATACCTGGATAATAACACACACTTTCTTACACACACACACACGCAAAGCATGCATTCTCATCTATTCTTTTTTTTTTTTTTTGTGAATGTTGTACAACAGCATCAAAGTGCAGAAAAAAACAAGGTGGCTGCTTTTAGAGGACATCGTGAAGAATGGTTAAATCTGCTCATAGTTGTAAAACAACTGGTTCAAGTCTGATGTTAAGCTGGTTGGCTTACATTTGCATCTCGTGTGATATCGCAATATACCGTCACAACCTATGGCATGTGAACATGGCTGGTATTGGTTTCTGTCATCCCAAAAAAACAAACGCTTTTCCTTTTTCTTTTTCTTTAAGGAAAAAAAAAGCAAAACAGCTTTTAACGTGTTTACTTCTTCCTTTAAGGAAAGTCTGGGCTCTAATTAGGAGACTTATCATGACTCCATTTCACTTTGTTTTTAAAATTTCTGTGAATGCTTGTCAGACATCTACTGGGAAATAAAATCACATTGTTCTCAAGTTTAGTCTCTGCATTTTTTTTTCAAGTTCATAGTTGATTTAAAGTTACAGAAAGAAATCGAAGCTGCTTTAAACTAAAAGTGGATTTTTATTCATTTATTTGATTTCACAGTTATGTTTCACCGCTGAATCCTGCCGTTGGTCGGCTTTGGCCTCGTTCTGTTTGCCAGCGAGTTTACTATGGCAATGGCAAGTGATGAGCAAAAAAAAAAAAAGTTTAAAAGGTGTCAAACGGCAAAAGGAACTCTGATATAGTGAGTTAAGAGGTTCACTGCTTAATCACAACAAATATGTTCTATCAGAGCATATTTTCATCAACATAATAATTAAGCTCCCCCTAAAAAGATACTGCAAATACAGGAAAGAAAACAAGTACAGAGAAAGGAAAACACACCAAAACAAACAAAAAAAGGCACCTCTGAATCTTCTCGTCCTCTGATAACAACGTCAGATCCAAACCAGAGTCAAACATCCGTTACAGTACAGACAGAAAAGGGAGTGAAACAAAAAAAAACAGCTATCTTTACAGCTCTACAGCATCCACACAGCAAAGTGCCTCCTCCTCATGTTCTCCATCACAATGGCACTCAAACCATAAACTGTACATGTGAAATGACACTATATATTAAAAAAACAACATCAAGCAGTGTGAAAACAGCGATCAGCTTCAAACAAATTGAATCACCATTATTATTATTTAAAATCATACAAAGTGCTATTAGCCACCAGCAAAGAGAACCAGTGATCAAAATTGTCATTTTCTTTTTTCTTGTTTTTAAGATTTTTGTTTTTAGTCAACAGTGACTGAAATCAGTTTGTTTTCGAGACCTGCGAGTAATTTAGAACAGCACGGATGGGCTCGGCCTTTAGACCGGCAACGAGACTTGTTCCATGTTGGTGTGACACACTGAAGCGACGTTGGCCTTTTGGACTGTATGCAATCCAATCCCCTCAGCTTTAAAGTGAAGAAACAATCAGTGACTTTGAGCTCGCACAAATGACAATCTGATCAGGGCCATAATAGATGTAAACATAGGGGAGAAAAATAAAGATCATAGAAATTTAGAATTCACTAATCTCAAATGTGACCTAATATGACACATTTTTCCTCGTAAATTCACGTCTCAATAAAATCACATGTTTAATGTTCTTAATTATATCAGATTACTTGTAAATTAGTAACTTCATGAGTTTTTCCTACCCAGTCTGCTACTATAATTTTTGAAATACAAAGTTGTTGTTTTTTTTCGCTCTTACCGCCTCCTCCCTTAACTATTATCTATAATTTTTTAAGCTAGAATACCCCAATACACTGTTGTGGCCTACTGAGCTTTACCATTGTCATTTGGCTAAAAAAAAATTGCTTTTACCGATGACCAAGAATGCATTGATTAAGATATTCACGCTGTAAATATACTTCACCTGGTCCTAACCAGACACACCAACATCCTCACCACACATCAACCAAGAAAACAAAAAGTTGTTCATTTTTCTGGTTTGCAGCCACTGCTTTTAAAAATTTACAAAATTCATTTGCAAGCAGAGACTAATAAGATTAAAGAAAATGCTCATCCACCCGGAGGATTTTGGCTGAAGCTTTTTTTTTAAACCCCTGGTTCTCCCCCAACAAGGCAAATCAGCTGCCTCCAACACCATGAGTTGTGGCACTACATGCTACAGATGAGATCAAAAAAAAATACAAAAAAAGATCAGTGATTAAGAACTACTCTTGCACAAGTTTTTAATGAACTGACAAAGAGGGGAAAAAAAACAAATGACGTCTCAAAGATTTTTTTTTTCCAAATAGAGTAACCATTATTGTTAATGTGTTTTTTTTCTATGTCTTCCTATTAATAAAAAGTTGAAGTAGAGGGCAGGCAGCAATGCTTCTCTAGGAAGCCGGTTTCTTCAGATCCCTGATCTGTTTGATTAGGTAGGTCTTCTCGTCGTTGAACTGCTCGTCGTCCGTGCGGTCCTTCTGGAAGTTGCTCAAGAAGTCGATGAGTTTCGTCTGGTTCTTGAGCAGGATGTCGATGATGGGCTGAGTCTTGTTGGGGTTTGCTACAAACACCTTGGGGAAACAAAAAAAGGACAAAACGGGAGGAAAATTCAATTCAGTTTTGTTTTATTTATACAGCGCAGATTGACAACACCAGTCACCTCAATGTGCTTTTTATTGTAAGGTAAATACCCTACAATATTAGAAAGAAACTCCAACAATCCGACGACCCCCTATGAGCAAGCACTTGGCGACAGTGGGAAGGAAGAACTCCTTTCTAAAAGGAAGAAACCTTCAGCAGAACCAGGCTCAGGGAGGCGTGGTCATCTGCCATGTCCGGTGAGAACAGAGAGTTTAATTACTAAAGACTAAATATATTAGTGGTGTATAAAGAAAGTAAAACAAGGTGAGTGAATAAGAAATGCTCAGTGGATCATGGGAAGCTCCCAGCAGTCTAGGCCTATTGTAGCATAGCAAAGGGAGGATTCAGGGTCAACTGATCCAGCTCTAACAAGATTTGTCAAAAAAGAAAGTTTTAAGCCTAATCTAAAAAGTAGAGGGAGGTCTCCCGAAAACAAACTGGGAGCTAGCTCTACAGAAAAGGACCCTAAAAGCTGAAGGCTCTGCTTTTAAACATCGTAGGAATCACAAGTAAAACATCGATATGAAAGCGAAGTTCTCTATTAGGCTAATATGGTACTATGAGGTCTTTAAGATAATATGAGCCCTATTATTCAAGATTTTATGTGAGAAAGATTTTAAATCCAATTCTGAATTTAACAGGAAGCCAACAAAGAGGAGCCAATATGGGAGAAATATGTTCTCTCTTTCCAAATTTCTCATTAAATGCATCTGCTGGTTTTTTTGTTTGTTTGTTTACCTTGAAGACGTGGAAGGCCTCAAACTGGATGTTGGCACTCTTGTCTCGGAGCAGATTCATCATCAGCTTCAGGTTCTCTGTCCTGCTGATGTACCGCGTCATGACCGTGAAGTTATGTCTGTCCAATAACAGCTCTCCCAGAAGCTGGAGGGGGGATCAAAGTGACTAATTATTATTAGAGAGGCCAGCTGTGCAGACCCCGCCCCCCAAAAAAACCCCAAAAATCCCATGAAGACTAAGTAGGAATTTAAATCAATATAGGTCGGAGACAAACCTTTAGAGACTGTCGCTTGGTGACGTAGTTCTCAGAGTGCAGCAGCTTCTCATAGTCTGCAAACACCTGCAGTGAAAAAACGAAACGCAGCAACAATCTGAGATCAAATTTTAAGCTTTTGGGAAATATCTATATGGACAATACTTTTTCCAAACAATATCTGATAAATGTTGTAAATAGAGGGCTTTTCCACCAAATGGAAATATGAACGCAAAGTTTATACAGCGCCAAATTACAACAGCAGTCGCCTTACTTTATAATGTAAGGTAAAGACGCTACAATAATCGAGAGAGGCTACACATGAGCAAGCACTTGGCAACAGTGGGAAGAAAAAAAACCCTTTAAACAGGAAGAAACCTCCAACAGAACCAGGCTCGGGGAGGGGCGGCCATCTGCCATGACCGGCTGGGGATGATCACTGGCTTAACATGCCCACTCTCCTGTGTTTAGGACACCTTTCCATTTACTTCCTAAGTTTAACCTGGCTCATTTCCTTTGAAAACATTAGTGCAGAGTGCTGGTTTAGCTAACTGGGTTTAGCAGGCAACCCATATGTCATAAGGCTAATGCAAAGACCTGGGTTCAAATCTGCCCTTGTTTATAGTGGCTACTCTTCCAAAGGCCGTTCGTTGATCCCCAGCTCTTCCACTTCTAAGTTTCCTTTAGCGAGACACTGAACCCAAGTGAACCCTGATATCCATGTAGGATTGCCTGTGTGTGTGACCATTAATGAAAAAGTGTCTGTGGATGCAGCTTCTAGTTTTAAAAGTTGCAAAGTGCTTAGGCGATAAACTAGAGAGAGTGCTTACCAACCTGAAAAGCCACGCAGTGCAATTATTTTGTTGCAACAATTATTCAAAATTGCCAAAACAGTTTGGCAGCACAGTGAATCAAGAAGGTTGTAGGTCTGAACCCGTCCAAAGACACACTTGTTGGGTTAGCTGGAGATCCTAAAGGAGCTGCTGGTGTGATGGAAAATGGTTGTTGTGCTCTTTGTGGACTTAATAATAATAATAATATCAATAGATGCTGGATTTTTTACACTCTGCTACTTCTGTGTCAAGCTGACCTTACTAAATGAAAAGCTCCACATTCTCTTCCTATGCGTAATCTTTCCGATATACCACAAGTTGATGGACGAGTTATCTTTTGCACACAATGTTCCGAATGTATTCTGGGAGCATGGCACAACTAGTCTCAATAAATATTCTAGACTTACAATTGCTCTTTCCTTCCTGCTGTCTGTATGGTTGTTTGACCTCTTTGCAAAGGTAAATAAAACTCAATAAATAAATTAAAATTTAAAAAGAAACCTGGTTGTTTGCATAAATTAGCACCAGATGGCTGTTAAAACATCTGAACCTAGATGAAGACAGTGCTATCACTTGGCTTTAGAATGTATGGCTGCATAGGGTCAAACACGTACTGTCCGGGTGATGTTTAAGTAATCAGCGATCAATATGATGAAGGTGCTTTTGAATCAAATATTAGATTATACAGAACTTTATCATTTATGGGGACATATCTGATATCGTGAGGTAGGAAAAAAGGAAATCTGAAATGTAACAATAGCCTCTGTATAAGTTACAGAATATTTAAGTAAGAGTTCCAACAGGAAAAGGACTTGTGTAGTTTAGATGAATATGTTTATGCACACTCTGTAGCTTGGGAAAACTTGGAGACAAGTATCAACACTTATCTGAATGTAGTTATTTTAAAGAAATATCTGCCTGTGTGTTTTAGGTTGAGACAAATGCATATATGATGGAGAAGTTGTTTAACTCTGTGTTTGCACATGGGTAATTCGGCTTGTTAGTATATTTTCTTTTAGCCCAGAAGGCATCTAATGAGATCGATTAAAGCAAATGAAAATACTGCACTGCATCCAAAAGGACAAGAACTGCCTGGACCTGCAAAAATGTAACATATGTAACTAAGAGGAAGTGGATGAATTAAAAGAAACCCCAAAGACACTTGACTTGAGTAGATCAACACATTGTTATTACAGCGCTCCCTCTTCTCACAGTCACATGGGTCAATTATCAGTTACTGGGTTTGTTTTACAATATTTGGCTTTGAACTGTGGGATTAAATTGAAGTATGAATAGATGATGTTTAGTTTAAAACTTAAAGTGCCTGTACCAACAGCATTATAAGACTTTGACGAGTATGTCACCAAGCTTATGTCACAGAACAAGAAACTCTTTGTGCAGTCATAGGTTTACCACTAAAATAATAATAATAACGGATTGGATATATATAGCGCTTTTCAAGGCACCCAAAGCACTTTACAATGCCACTATTCATTCACTCTCACATTCACACACTGGTGGAGGTAAGCTACGGTTGTAGCCACAGTTGCCCTGAGGCAGACTGACAGAAGCGAGCCTGCCATATCGCGCCATCAGCCCCTCTGGCCAAAACCAGTAGGTGGTGCCCAAGGACACAACGACCAGGACAGAGAGCCCGGCGATCGAACCGCCGACCTTCTGGTTACAGATGCGCTTCCCAACCCCCTGAGCCACGGTCGCCCCAAAATCTAATCGAAAGACGTTATGACATTTAGAGAGGCTGTGCTGTTTTCCTATAAATTTACGTTTTTTGTTTTTTAATCTGCCTTCACTGCCAGCTCATTGAATACTCTATCACAAGGCTTCATGAATGCCTGTGTGTGACTGGGCCAGTGAGCACTGCGGTGACTGATACCCGATCTCGCTGTGCATCCGTGCAAGGTTTCCTCATGCAGAGTCAAACAGAGCTCAGTGACTGACCTCTGTGTGTGGTTTAGGTTAACGATTGCTAAAAATTCAAAATAGCAAGGCTAATGTGCATTAATATGTGTGGTGGCTAACGTCCATCCCAGACTAATCTCTCCTCGGGAGCTGCAGATGTGCAAATGTGTTTGTAAGTCGAAGCACTCACAGCTTCGTAGTTCTGCTCGAGGAATTCGGCCACAAGCACTTTGTGTCTCGTCAAGAGGTCCTGTGGACAAAGACAGAAAAATGCATCTTAGCTGACGGATTCAAATGTTACCGAACACTTTTTACATACATACATGTATGTATACACTGTACATTCGCACGCTGCCCAAAATTTGTCTCCCGTATTGGATCCAATACAACCATCAGATGCTCGGAATAAAAAAAATTTATTCCCCAAATGTTGCCAGAGGTTCCTGCAGGTGTTTACTTTCCAGTTTTAATTACAATCATCACACTTCAAAATAGCTGACAAGTTAGCGTCACATGGTCAACGGTCACATGTCTGCAAAAATCAGCATAAGTTAGGACTTTTCCTCAACAAAACATGAAAACAAATTTGCCTTTTCTAGGCCTATGTGGGGAACAAAAATATCAAATTCAAATGACACTTGTGTGGGATGTTGGTTTACTAAATCCAAATCCAAACACTGTTGTCAAAGTCCAGTCTGGCTCTAGTCTAGCACCTGACCTGACAGCCAAAAGAAGAAGAAAGAGAGTTACCTTAAAGGTGGCGAATGCGTCAGAAGCAATGTCGAAGGTGGACATCTCCACGTAGTTGAAAAAATTGTGGAAATGCTCCGAATGGAGAACTATCTTGGCGAGCGGCTCGTGGCGGATGCACTCCCTCAGCATGATCCCACAATTTAGCGCCACCTGGGGCATCTCGTATCTTCAAACACAGCAAGAGAGAGGGAGTAACGCTCACCCCCTCCTCGTCATAGAAGCCATATTTATTGTGTTAAGACGCCATTAGGCTGAGGACAGCACGTGCACTGTGTGTTTATCTCACCCTTTCAGCAGTATGAAGAGGACCTCCTGGTGGGAGCAGAAATATTCAACAGTGGGGCTCCTCGTCCCAATCTGCCTCCTGAGGATGTTGTTGAAGATCTGACACACGTCCTTCTTCCCCTGGAAACACACGTAAACCTGAACTAACCACATAACAGCATCTGTAACATTTAGCACGTTAAAAATTAATGAATTGTGTACAGTAGGAAAAAAAGTTGTTTTAAAAGCAGTGCTACAACCTAAAGTAACTTAAATTTATGAGTTGGAGTCAGAGGAGGCCTGTAATGGTAAGAAAACTGTACAAGGTTTTTAAATACACCATCAAATTTCATTATTTTCACTACATCTTGCAAAACTACAGCAACAATATGCAGCATTTCTTAAAAAGTCTAGAAGAGCTGTTAAGTTTCTTCTGCTCATGGATGTTTATTTTCTATCGCGTTTCTGTGTCAGCTTTATCACAAGTGTGCTTCTGCAGCACATCTGTGATACTTTCTTCTGCTTACCTCAAAGTCTATGACCTGCAGGTTTTCTACCAGCGCGATCAGCAGGCCGCTGTTGTACAGCTCCTGGGCCAACTGGGCCACAGTCTCGGTGTGGGGCTCCTTGTCATTGCTTCCATACAGGATCTCTTTCATGGACACCAAACACTTAGACACCTCCTCAGAGGCCTGTAGAACAGAAAACTACAGGTGAGGAAGGATGGAGGCAAAGAAGGCATCATTTAGAGGAATAACATGTAGAAACTATCATTAGTAAAAGAGAGCGTGAGCTTGAATTTGGCTTGTGACTCTGATTCTTTGATCCCCTGTGTGCATGTGTGAGAGAGTCTTGACAGTGAAGCGTCAGAAGATGACAGGCGCAGGCTGTTTCGCGCTCCCACCCTTGGGGCCTCTTGACACCCATTCACACACACACACACACACAGACGCACACAGACACAATCAAATACATTCCTCTACCTTGTCTGTCTTCTTGTCCTGTTTGACCAGGATGGCCAGGTTTTCCTTCAACGTCTTGACAATGTCGGCGGGACTCTTGTGTGATTTACCAAACAGCGGCATGATGGACACGTGTGCACACGCCTTTGGGACCTGTGAAACACAGCAATCAGTGTTAAATGTATTGTTTATTGACCGATGAATCAATTCAAGCTACAATAGAATAGCCTGTAATTATAAAAGCTACGATCTATTTTTACCAGACTTGTAAAACTGCCAACGTTTCAGTGCTTCCCACAAACGTCAGTTTACAGTGCTGCTTACTGACAAAAATGCCACTTTTAATGTAGTGCATTACAGAGATGACTATAAAGTTGTAAGTGCCCTCTTGTGGGCAAACAATATACTGTGCTCACTTTTATTAAATATTTCTATTTGATTAAATATGAATAAACCACTATTTTCAATCATTTTTCCAATATAAATATTCCAAGAAGCATTCAGAAGCTGCACCGATTGTGATTCCAGCTCCAAGTTGTGCATCCCAACCAAGCAAAAACATTTTTCAAGGCAGGTGCGTAGGAGAGGTACAACGCAAATAATTTGCCACATGAAGGGCACTGAAACGTCACGAATAAATGTATTCCTGCGAACTGCAGCCGTGTGTCTGTGGAAACCGTCATCACCCTGTACTGCACCTACAAGTCGCATACAGATCTTTAGATGGGCTGATGACACTGTGTTGACTCACCTGTTTGATATGAAAAGATAACAAAAATGCTGCTGATAGGGAAGTAACAATCTGAGTAGTCTTCTTCTACCGTTGAAAAACATTCCAACACCATATACATGTCTAGAAGTCAGGTTGCTACACATCTGAAATCATATTATGGCAAGAACCAATCAGCTGAATAAAGAGAAACAAGAGTCCATCAATACTTGGTCAGTAAATCCGGAAAACTGCTAAAACTTTGAATGTGTCCCAAAGTGCAGTTGCAAAAACTATCGAGGTAGGTATATATAGTCAAGTCAGTAGTTTCTGTAATTTAATAACAGTTTAAATAATATTAAGATTCAAAAGTAGGGGAGTCCAAACTGCACCGTAACATAACATCTCCGTCATATTATGACACAGCCAGTTCCTTTTTGACTGATCTTATAGTTGGAGCTGGACCACATGAACTCAACCCATTCCTTACTCGTGCTGCTGCAGTCGTTCCCCATTCAAAACTTTTCACTGCTGTTGCATTTACATGCTACTGTTGCACTGTTTTGTCCAATCAACTGACTGTGGCAGATACCAGCCCCTCCCTCAGCTTGCTTCTGCCAGAGGTCTCGTCCTCCCCACCATCACCTAGTGCTTCTCACTCAGATCTTCTGATTGTTGCGGTCCTCATTCTTATATTATAGTGTCTTTAGCTAAAAATACAACGTGCCTCGGATCAGCTATTTGTTGACATGAACTGCTATCCTGTCTTGAAAGAAAATAAATCAAATAAATACCTGAGCATTCAGGATTAAGCTTTAGAATCAAACCTTTTATGTTTTTTAACCACTAAAAACAGGGCAATGTGAGCAACCTGCTGTTCAAACATTCAGTCTATGAGGAAGAGGAAAAAGTTGATTCAAATGAAGGCGGAAGGGAGCTAAATCTGCTCCTTTTGGTCAGAGGATGAGCTATGATGCAGGACAAGGTGAATCATGCAAGGCTTCCCTAGTAAACACCAACAAAATACAGTATGGAGCTGGTATGGAGCATAGTAGTTCGTTCACGTCCATTGAGTTACATTAGTTACTCTCATCTTGACAGCTCAAGCCTGTATGAAACAGACAATTCTAGTTTATGTGCATCAAAGTAGCAAGCTGTGTTTTGCCCTATTACTGCCAGAATGTCAATCATGCTACCAACAATGCTACTAGCAATCTGTTGCAGCCACACTGCGCACTAAGCTGACATTGTACATAATGCCAAGCACCTTAAAAGGACTTTCAGCATTTGCTCCTTCAGTCACAGGTTTACAAATATAGCTGTCAACTGATGGTTTTTAAGCTAAAATACCAGGAAAACAACACATAAATATACTTGTTGCTGAGTATATCGGGTAAGTTAGAGAGGTTGTCCACAATGCTCTGTGAGCATATTAAGGGATCCAGGAGGCAGCAGTGGCCTTCAAAATCCAGGCCAGGTCAGGAACAGCCACAGAACTTGTGACTGCTAATCCTCATCTGGGAATGTAAAAGGGCATTAACCCTAACTCCCACCGTCATTCCTCCCTCCATCTGCTCCATCCTTCACTCATTTCATCCTCTCTTTCTTCTCCTCTTCACAAAACACTTCTGCTCCTCCCTTCCCCGTCTACTCGTCCACTGGCTCACAAGACATTCATCTAGAACTGATGCTAGCAGCCAAATTGTCTGAATGTTAAAGCCTCCTACACTATACATTGTAAAGCATTAACAGTGAACAGGTAAAGTGACCGTGTCCATGGAAGTCCTTGGAAAAACACCTGCACAGTGTTTTCTGGAGGAGACTATTGCTTCAGCTGGACCTACTGAGCTTTTATTTTAATTTGTCCTTTTTTATCCTATCTTGTATCTCTACAGTTATAATGATGAATGTCTTTTTTAAACATGAACAAAGTTTAAAGTAATGAGGTCAGTCTGTGCACAAGTAATCCCCCTGAGCCAAAAGCTCAGGTTTCAGACAGCTCTGAGCACTGCATTCAAGGCCGTTTTCATAAATCCATATGATGCTTCTGTGAGCACAGAAGCCACGCCTACCTATTCATCAAACCTCCTGTTTGATAGGGATAACCAATCAGAAGAAAGTTGTCTTAAAGGCAGACAACATCTTTTGGAATGAACTGAGAGGCTACATCAAGGCTTCGACAATGCAAAATAAAGCTTATTTAGAACTGAGAGTAAGTGAATCTACTCCTTTATAATAAGTTGGAATAAAAGTATGAAGCTTGAGATGAGTATAAGTTCAAATGAGCCCGTCTAAAGCACATTAGAACAGTAACTCATCTCTGGAGACTGCCGAGTGTCACATACTGGAAGCTTAAAGGAGCCTAAAACTTTAAAGCATTGATGCCTGATATGACAGAGCCTTATGTGAGACATACAGCTATGGGTACGGGTATTTATTTGACTTGTTGAGACTGTTTATTAAAAAAGTTTCTGACTTAGGTCATCTGTTTTCTACCCTCCAAGAGAAGAAACAAGCCTCTCCACAGAGCTACAAAAACCTCTTTGACTTGTTCATTATCAAATACAACAGGAAGTTCCCTTAACCAAGTTCTCTCACACACACACACACACACACACACACTCAGTTTCTTCAAACACCACTTAGCCTGGCAGATGTGTGGGCCACTTCAAATCACAAGACCAGGAGAATAAAGAGCTGTGACAGTAAAGGCTGATTTCCCCTGATGATCGTAAAACAAATCCGTGTAGGTGTGCTGACAGAGTTATTACTTCAATCCTTCCCCTATAAAAACACGTCTAATTACATGACAATGCATCCACCATGCTGGCCACTTACGGCCAACTTACATTTCACAGAGTTGTCATAAAAGGTGCCGACAGTTTACAGCTGCTGCAGATCCTGGTGCGTGGTCGCAATAAGAAAAGTAAGCTGATGCATTCCAGAGGTATGTGAGCAGAACAGTGAGTGCTTTCCTCAGAGTGATAAAAGGTAGGAGTTGAAAGAAACATTGAAGGTAAAATGTCATCTTTCACATTATTCAGGAAAGGGGAAATTGCACGGGGGATTGGACGCCTGTAAAAACAAACAAACAAACAAAAAACAAAACAAGAAAACAGCCTGGATTGGAATCACGAGGTTTTCACCTTACAAAAGGAAATCTCAGCTGACACAGTTTGTGTTCTTCATAATCAGTTCTTCAAAATGTTCTGTGTGACTGATTTTGATTCTTTATTCGGGAGCAGTTGAATCACAGAGAGGGGACACCACAGTGACGTGGAAAATAATACCAACCCCTCCGTGAAAAATGTTCTTCTGCTAGCTTATGTCATTTGAATACCAAGGTGTGCAGTGGGTGAAAAGGGAGCTGTTTTAAAGTCCATCCAGGAACAGGTGACAAACATAACAAGGCTACTTGAGTTTCGCTTTATCTTTCGATGACATCATGACGGCAAAACTTTAGTCAGGTCAATATTTGTCGAAGGATAAACTGGCAATGAGGAATTGCTCATGAAAAGAGGGGAGCCATGCTTGCAAACAACGCCTTCCTGCTTTTCTAATCTAATCACACTGTAGGCGAGTGCGTCAGGTAATAACCAGTCGAGCAGTGCTCCCAGTCTGGCCTTGTTCCTGCAGCTCTAACTAAGTGTTTCTGATTATTAAAGAATACTTAAAGGGCCCCTTTTAATCATTTAATAACATGTCTTTTGAGTCCTGGAAAGCTTAAGCAGCTGATTACTCTGAAGTCTTCATTTTCACTTGCACCCTTCTTAAGACTGACTAAATGTTATGTAATGGAATTAATCTTGTGCCTGCTGGGCTCGAGCGCACACTGCGAGCTGCTCAGCTTAGGTATAAGCTTACCTGAGATGTTCCTTGTTGCCCCAAATATGAATTTTTCAACTAATCGCAAGCAATCTAAATGAGCTTTAATCCAAATACAGATGTACAGAATATAAGTAAAGGTTACCCAGAACAGGGAGTATAATTTCAAAAAGATTATGAGGCATTATTTCAACAGTCAGGTACAAGCATGTGCAACAGGGTTAATAATGCTTGCATCTGTCGTTGCAGCACAGCAGTATGTCCCCTTAAAACAGTCTTAAGGAGTTAAGGAAACTGGACTTCTTTTTGATCTGATGGTAAATGAGCCATGCCTTGATTCACATCTTGTCTCATGGGTCAATGACTCTGAGGACCACCTCCCCAATGCCACTAGGTATTAGACATCTGGGACTCCCCATCGGTTTTAGAGCTGAAGAAGCTTCTTGGATGAGAGGTCAAACGTCTCCATAGACCAAAAAGACATTCAGCTGCTTTCATTAGTAGCGCTTAAGAGTGCCACGACCTGATTGGCTGAGAACCTACACAGACATGCTTGCATTCTTGTTCTAAAGGACTGGCACCCCCATTTAAACTTGCCTATGTAAGCAGTGTGGTTCAAACAGCGAGTGAATTCCTTTAAAAGTATTAGAGGTTTTATATAAATGTAAATAATTTGCACAGACTCCCACAATTCATCTCTCTTCATCGCATTAGGACACCAACGCAGGACCATAAATCCTGCATAAAACAGCATCAGAATCATCAATATTTTAGGAAGTAAATAAGGCGATGTTTTAATGTTTCTACTGCTACTCCGTGAAAACAATGTATCCTTTAATTTCTCTTTAGCAATTATTTTATATAGTCTTGTAACTGCAAGGATAAATCGCTTAACTAAACAGTTATTTTTTTATATTATATACATTTTATATTAAATCTATAATTTACTGGAAGGCTCTTATTTTAGTAAACCAATGAATGAAAAATACAAATCCAAGGCTGTTCATTGTGTAGATTCTTTGGCTGAATAGTCAGTTCACTTTAAGAAAAACATAATCTTTAGAGTTCAGTCTGTAGTCTTTGATATATTTGCCCGTCCGTTTGCTACATGAAAACTATTTGTTCAGCTTCAGTCCAAACTCATATCACATGCTCTAAAACTTATCAGATCCCTGCGTTATGTTCCCAAGGTACAAACCGAATCAAATCGGTATAGTATGGTATAATACAATAAAGATTGTCATCAGGGGTATGGCTCGTCTTGTGACATATCAAAGTATACTGATAATCTAATTATGTTAGGACCTGACAGAAACAGGCCGATTGCCTTCTCGTGCTGCCTCGCTGACACGATATTCAGCCGAGTGTAGACACAGCACCGAGCGACGGCACATTCTCGCCATAAGCAGATTTCTCTTGGGTTATCTGAAAGCATGACCTCTGCTGCAGACATATGGGCCTTTACTGTCATCCTAACACCGCTGTGCTGAGGAGTCACTCAGTACATTTGATTCAACTCACTTCCTAATGCACTACATGCATATCTGACTGATCAAAGATTTATTTGTTGTGTAGTTACAGTTTTCCTGAACTATGCAATCCGTTTGTAGACCACTAAATGTTTGATCATTGAACTGCAGCTCTTATGAAAAATGTCTCTCCTCACTATCAAAGTATGGATTCCCTCAAGGTTCAATACTAGGGTCAACTGTATTTTCACTATAATGCTACCACTTACAAATTGTCTAACTGATATAAAAGTAGAGCCTGACTGATATTGGATCTTTAAGACCACTACAGATATCATTATTTGGTCATTTTGGCGTTTTAACCACATCCTTTAATTGTTAGACCTTTACCTTGAAATTTTAAACACTATGAGGCAACTGTTGTTGTGAATTGTTAATATCACTGATACACAAACTACCATTAACGCTGTTATTTCCTCTCGGTTAGAGTACTGCAAAGGTCCTTTAATAAGGTATATATCAGAAATAAATAATAAACTCTAGTTTACATAAAACAGCAAAAGACAGAAAAGCAAAAACATTGATCAGATTTTTAATGACTCTAGCTGATTTGTTTCAAATTAATTAGTAGAGTTACTCTTAATTGTCAAGCCTTTAATGGGCTAACCCCAGAAAATATATCAGAACTGCTGCCCACTTACGAATCAGTGCTTCAGGCAGATCCCCAGGCAGGAACTTGCTCTCTTTTAAACACTAAACAAATGATTTAATCACTTTTAAATCATTTGTGTCATATGGCAATACATTAAAAAAATGACTAACAGTCATATTAGTCATAACTCTCTTGGCACTGCCCTCATCAAACAGCTGCCTTTTGCAGCGCTGGATTATAGTAACATTCACTGTAACAAACTGCATGGCAGTGGGCGGCTCTGATGACTAATCGGTGACATTCCAGCGCAGCAAGATAGTGATCCACGACAGGAGCTGGAGAGACGGTGACGTAGCGATCTGTCACACCTACAGGCCACTCAGGCGGCAGAAGAGGGAATACAAGCTGGACATTTCGTGGCTTGTGGTAAGACCAGGGGGAAGCAGTGGGGCAGCTCGTCGCACACGTGATAATTTGTTCAAATAAATTAACTTTGTGCTCAGGAATTCTTGGCAAATTCATTTAATTAAGCCTAGAAGTTTTCTAACAATGCGAAGAATCTACCACAGCCTTTCAATGAAGGAGAAAGGTGACATCCTATTATTTTTGCCTGGAATGTGAGTCATTCATGGTGTACTACTAACACATGCAACAGGAATGCAAACGCTGAAGGAGGAGCAGCAAGGACAATAACCCGCTCGTCCAGCATGAATTATTGCTGCTGGCATTAGCTAAGTGATTAACATCAACTGCAATAAATCTGACAAAGCATTGACTGGAAGGTTCACGTCTGACGAAGCTGGAACACGTCTATCAGTCGTAAGATCAGAGTGAAGACACACAGGTTGTAGTTTATAGCAGCACAGTTTCAGGCCTTTTTAAGTTAATTTGACAAAGAAGGTCAAATTTCTCAGTCAGCATCCTGACCCAGACTGTCCGAGCCAGGGCTCGAACCGGCAACCTTCCGGTTACAAGACGAACTGCCAACTGTTTGAGCCACGATCTAATCTATGCCCACCTCCGACTACAAAGAGTTGTTTGCTTCAATTATATTCACAAGGAAAGGCGACATGAAAGACCAGACATCATCGAGCAAAATCTCACTTACAAAGAGATTGTTAGGTAGGACCAACCTGATATTAGTTTAAACTCTGATCCCCAACTGCACTTGATGCACTTCAGTGAAGCATACAGGGCACATCTGTAATATTTAAGACTGACTTAGGTCTTAGTGCTCTCAGTGGTTGGCACTTTCTGCATGTCCAGCTGGAGGAAGCCGGCGTTATCAAGAATGGCTGTGAAAAGCTACTGCAATACTTAAAGTGGGGGCTTTTTTGTCAGCAAGGCAAACTTTCCTTTTCAATCACATTTACTTCCTTACGGGTGGCAGACACTAACCTAAAAACAAGCCTGAGCATTTGATTGGTGGATCTACTGAGAAGCAAGACACAGAGGACATGACAGCCAGGCTAGATGGAGTCTTTATGACTCACATGGACTGCTGGTAGTCAAAGGTAACAGTCTGAGAAATCACAACTATAATGTGCAAGTTTTTTTATTCAGGACATTATGAAGATTGCTGTACTTAAATGCAGAGTCATTACAGGTTAATACTGCAATCAAGTGTGAAATAGCTTATATGAGAAGCTTTTACCTTGTGATATCAAGGCCAGTGGATTTACTCATAATGTAAAGCATATATTGTAGTCCGCTTTCAAATTAAAAGCACGAAAGTGAGTCATGAAACGAGACCGTATGGAAGACACCTTTGTGAAAGAATCTACGTCAAAAAGTGTTGTATAGCATCAAAGATAAATGTAGGGCTGGAACTAGCAATTAAGGATGAACCAAATTATTAGGAGAATGCAATATTTTAAAAATTATCTATAAATTTCGCTAATATTGTTTTGTTTCATTTTTTGTTGTTATTTATTCTTCATTCAGTGTCAGGAAAACAAAATAATCTCTGTTCCAGATTATCTTACTAGATTTAAAGTTTCTGAGCTCCTTATCACACTGTCTTTGAACGTTTATCTGGCACAGACCTGATCTCATACAGCACATAAACATTGGCCAATGCCACTGGGGAACGTCATTTAATTGCTCGTAGGTTACTAATGTCCATGCGATAGTATCAGTGCAACTATTATTTCAACAGACATTTAACTTGTCAATCATTTATTCACTTTGCAAAATAACTACCTTTTAAACATGAATAATTATGAAATTCAGGCTCTCTTTCCCTATAGTTAGCCTTTTGTCCTGCTCTCTTCTCTTTCCTATCACTCCCAGCTGATCACAGCCCCCTCCCTGACCCGGGTTCTGCCAAAGGTTTCGTCCTGTTAAACAGGAGTTTTTTCTTCCCAGTGTCACCAAGTGTTTGTCCATCAAGGGGTTGTCTGATCTTTCCCATTTGTAGGATATTTTCCCTAGAATATAAAGCACCTTATGGTTGTTGTTGTTGTTGTTGTGAATTGGAACTATTGGCACTATTTAAGTGTCTTTGTTTAAAAGCCATATGATAAAATGAAAAAAATCAAATAAAATTTGCCAAAACTGTGATCTTGATAAGGTTTATAGCTGCACAAAGCAGTGACTCAATGGAGATTTTATGACTAGCATTTTACTTTGAAATCCAAACCCGGAAGTTGGATTGTGATCATTCGGGTTGACCTGGTCCTAGTCGTTTAAAGTAATAAAGGAGGGAGGAGGGGGGGGACCAAAAACAAAATACACACACTGTATATGAACTCCCGAGGAATTAAAGACCTCGCTAATTACCCTCTTTAGAGGAATAAGAGCTTATAACGCTGACAGCAGTAAACAGCACATAAGGCCGCATTAACAGTCCCAGACAATGTGATTTAACAAGGCTACACCCCTCTCGCCTCCGGCCAAACTCCCCTCTTTTTTGTTTGACAGATTTCCAAAGCTACCCACAGTTGTCTGCATCATTTCATGAACAACTGCAGAAAAGGACGTTGGGGTTCTCTCATGCATCAACATAACCGACGTTTCAACACCGACTTAAGTTACAAAGGGCAGTCATATTAGGTTATCTGAAAGCTATTGCTCTTCGACAGTAGAGCCTAGAAATAATACTTACAGTGGGAAGATGTTTGGTGGGGGGATCTGTAAATGTCTTGACCGCTTCTGTCCCGGTTCACAGCGCAGCCGAAGCTCCCAGATAGACGCCTGTGCTCACGCCAGGGCTGTTTGTCGACACAAAAGTCGGCTAAAAATGTGTACGAAACAATTTAAAATGTGTGGAATCTGTTAAGAAGGCAGTGCTGAATTCCATCTGGTCGCGTTCCAGTGTGCTGCCAAGTTAGCAAGAACGCAGAGATTAAGGACTTCCCGATTGCGCTGTCATAGTAAAATAATCGGCGGCCCCTTGTTTCTTTGGAGGGTGGAGGAGAAGCACGATTGTGCTGTAAAGTAAAGTGGACGCCATCGATGGAGCAATTTAAATAAGGCTGTATTTATGAATTCAACCAAGAAGTCCTCTATTGCATCGGGGCTTCATAAAAACTTGTAATTTGTAGTGCAACTCGCGTCACTTCCTGTGTGGCTCACGCTTGCTAGCTTGACAAATCTGTATCTTTCCAGCCGCGGCTGATTCTCGTTCACATCCTCCGACTTCAAGCGCTACTTACGGCCTTGACTGAAGTATTACTGCATCGTGTATATTCACAAAAGCACATATTTAATACAGTTACCAGGAAATACATCTGAAAACTACTTTGGTGACGTAGGGTTTACGTGCAAGACGGAAATTAAGCGGAAAATAGACCTCAAGGTCGGCAGCAGTACTTATTGGAACGAACCCTAGACTGAATCATGATAGTCTAAACTGGAATAAAAGCCCATTGGAGGAAAGGAACCATGTGGTTGAAATTACACTTCCGGATCACAATTAATAATTAATTCCACTGTCAATTTCTCTCTCTTCCTTTTTTGTTTTTAGCTGACTTCAAAAATAAACAGCTAACCATTAAAGATATTTTTAAAATTCATAATAATAGAGAAAAAAGGCTAAATTCAATAGAGGAAACCATTTCAGACTTTATTAAAGCTGCTTTTCAATTTACATACAAGTCAGAATTACATATTTACAAATGTACATGGATATGTCTTGTAACAAGTTTTAAATCGTAATATGCTGTTATATCAACAGCATATTCAGTAGATGTGCAATAGGAAAATAAAGACAGTGGGTGCTGCAATGTGCTGCATAAAAACAAACTTAAAAAATAGAATCCTTTCTCATGTCTCCAGCCTCTGAGTCGAAAAAGTACAAATTACACAGTAAGATTTTATTTGGGTGACCAAAAAACAAAAAAAAACAAAAACTGACGACTTTAGTGCCCATGTCAGCTTTCTCAAGAGGGCGGAATATAAACTCTCACAATGTACAACAGGTAAAAAATAGTTCTCCAGGAGGTTTACAGCATGGGGCTTATGAAGTACATGCCACACAGAGTGATGATATACAGAGAGATAGAGAGACTCCTCTTAACAATATACATGCTCTTTAGGGGGAAACAGTGTGAGGTATAAGAGGACACATCTGTACAAGTGTAACATTTATTTCTCAGCACGTGGACGCACAGCTATGCAAGCCACAGTTTAGCTCACAGTTTGACATCGAAAGGCCTGTAAACTGGTTTGTTTCCTCTTCCTTTACGTTCAGTGGGAGGATCTTAAAAGAAAAAAAGTGCTTCTCAGCAAGTTCTTGAGAAGCCAATCACAAGCACTGATTTTAGTCCAATTAAGAAAAAAAATCTAAGAAAAAAAAACTGTTAATCATGGCTTTGTCGAGCAGGTGGACAAGCTGGTTTCCTGTTTGAAACAGTGTCACACATTCAACAACGCAGGTGGAAAAAGGAGCGATTGTTTTACAGTGTACCTCGTGGATACAGTAAAAATCCTGGGATATATATTTAAAAAACATTTAAAAAGCAAGGTGTCATTCAGTGTTCAGAATAGCACAGGTTTCAGAAGTTGCGTGCAGAACAGCTGGTCGTCAAAGGCGGTTGGCATCAATCTACATCAGAACAGTGGACGTATCACATTTTCTAAACTAGTTACTTAACTGTGACGTTTACTCAGCTACATTTTGGTGTCAAGTACACAAAGTATTGCTCTCAGGCCGGAGGTGCAAACATGTCGAGCAGGTCCGGGCCGTGGTATTATTAACCCAGCTTGCGGAGAAGCAGCTACTGTCACATGCTTGAATGGGGCTGGTTGCACAGAGAGGAGGGGGGGGGGGGGAGGAGGGGGACAAAGCCTGCTTTTGTTGCTGCGGTGCAGACCAAAGATAGGTGAGCACGGTGACACAAAAAACAGACACACATTCAGAACACTGAGATTTGGGCCGCGACAGCTGTTTGAGCAGAGGCTGCACATGTGTCTGAAAAACTCTGATCGAACTGCTGTCTGTTGTCAACACAAACAATCAGGTGAGTGTGCGCGCGCACCCACACGGACACAAAGACAGGTATGCAGTCACACCTGTCTGCCTACAGAAACGTCTTCCTGAGAGGTAAAAATCCAGAGCAGTGCACTGGCGGGTTGCTCAATCCCTCATAGGAGGAAAAAGATTCATTTAGAATGAAGTGCAAGACACCTGACCACCAGGTTGTACTGTTGTTGACATTCACCTAGTGACTGCGTGCGGTTCTTAATATCATAAAAACAGCTTTTAAGGGAAGCTCATTATCCATGTGTGAGGAATACAGCGTTCTTTAGTAGCTTCAACAACACAAAACGCCTGCACGCAATCAACCTGCTCACTTTTCCTCCCAGATGTACTGAAAGCATTTTTCCTCTTGCGGCCGCCTGCTACTTTTCACAGTGTGCGATCAGCGACTGACACCAAAGCCAGCGTTATCGGGGGTCTGATGGTGTTTGTCTACATAACATCCTCCTGCACAAGAATCTGTCGCCGTGCTGCGATGTCGTCATCGACTTGAAGGGGCTCGACTAACCAGCAGTTCTGTCCCCTCTGCAGACGGCGCGTGTTTAGTGCAGATGTCCTTTCTAACCTCTCCACATTAATGCTACATAATCACTAGGCCTGGACTGCCTGTTCAGTCAGTTATTAGACTGCGGACATTTAGCTTTAAAGAAGGCCTCGCAGGAGGTGATACATCACATGACTTGTGTGCCGAGGAATGACAGATATCCCTGATATTTCCCTCTCGCTCGAAGGAACGGCAAAAAAAAAAAAATCTATACTTAAATTCTACCAACATGCTGACACCTTTGAATATAAAAAAAATTTTAAATGACAGTGCAGTTCTTCTAAATACTCTGGAAAAAGGGGGGCAGTTAGCACTTAGCCAGCGCTGGCTGATCTGCAGAGAAAGTTTTGGTTTTCAGATGGATTTAGAAACTGTGACGTGGGTGACTGTCCTCCTGTCAGACCAAACTCCAGCTTTTTTTCTTCTTTGTTTTTTAAGCATTTTCCACCTGTACAAAATGATTTTAGGTGCAGTGATTTAACAAAAAAAAAAAAAAAAAAGCTGGGAAGACCTGACTCAGGTCAGGGTTTGATGTCGGAGAAGCTGGTGTAGGTCTCACTACAGCTGGAAGAAGTGCTGAGGTTCCCAGAGACGCTGCCATCTGCAGGACAAACACACAAACAGCAATGCTCTGTTAGAGCCAGACATTGCAGGGGAGAGTAATAGCGTCATTGTGCCGCATTGCTAGGCAACAGGTACCCATACTGCAGCGTTAAGGGAAAGATATGAATGTGTGTACTTCCTGTTCGTTGTAACCGACCTGAGCTGCTGAGTGATTGAGATGACTTGGACTCTGAGATGAGGCTGAGGAGGTTTGCTGCTGCCACCCAGCCCTCCTTACTGGTGCGAAGGTTCTTTACGAACCTGTGAAGGAGTTAAATAAATATATATATTTTGAGATAAAATTACAGGACATTTTACATTAATAAGCCACAACATTAAAACCACTGTAAGTGTAATATACAGCACTGATGATCTTGTTATAAAGCAATGGTTAGTTAGAAAATCTTGGATCCTGGTATTTATATGGTTGCTGATGACACATATATGTAAGCATTGCTACTGACCAACCAAACCCCTCCAATCCCCATGCCCAGGGGGAGCAATTCTGGAATGCACTGACTGCACCTCACCCTGAACAGGACCCAAAGGATCCTGGTACCATACAGCACAGGACATTTCCACAATTTGACCCAGTATCCTGATTGCTTACAGCTCGTTTTGGTGAGAAGTTTTAACATTGCGGCTAATAAACAAAGGTCGAAATAGAAGACCTATGACAGTTACTCTCCATTTACACGTACGAGAACTAAATTCTCCCGAGTGCGAGTGTTTGTGTGAATGTTAGACAACGTGCTTTGTGTGTGTGTGTGTGCGTGAGAGAGAGACTGGGAGAACGAGGTTTGTAGTAAAAAGCATTTTGAGTGCTCAGTCACAGAAGAAAAGCCTGATTAAAGTACCACTCACTATCATATTTATGTTATGTGTCACATCATGAAAGCAGAGTGAACTTGTTCCTTTAAGAATGAAAGTTCAGATTATATTCCCTCGCAGAATTAGATGTGTATACCGTCAGCTTTTCTTTATTCTAGTCCAGCGGTCCCCAACCCCCGGGCTTCGGACCGGTACCAGTCCGTGAGTCGTTTGGTACCGGGCCGCGAGAGTTGAGGCTCAGGTATGAAATGTATGGTTTTCAGGGTTTTTATCGGTTTTCAGCGTTATTTTGTTATCATTTTTATCGTTAACTCGGTTTTCCTGGGTCTTTTCACGTGTGTTATGAATAAATCTTCTTTTTTTCGGTACCGGTACTAGTTTTATTTTGTTGTATTTATCTGCGACACCTTAAAGGCCGGTCCGTGAAAATATTGTCGGGCATAAACCGGTCCGTGGCGCAAAAAAGGTTGGAGACCGCTGTGCTAGTCCATTTGTAGTCTGCTTAAAAGCAGTGTTCGCATTTGGAGCCCTTAAATTTGGCGGCTATACTGAGAAGTGTGCGCAGTCACAAATGACCAACTTTTACTCTTTCTTTGTGGCACAGATTCGACACAGTCCTGGAAACATTCCTCAATCTTGGGTCTATAGTGTCACACATTTGCTCCAGAAGACACCCACTGTGGACCTCTGCTTCAAGGTGTGACATGTGCATTCAGAGATGCTCTTCTGCACACCTTGCTGGTAACAAGTGGTTATTTGAGTTACTCTTTCCTCCCTATCAGCTCAAATGCATCTGGGTCCTATTAAAATCCATTTAAATTAAGTGTTGTTTGCTTTTGTTTTTTTTACCACTGTCCCTCCTCTCCTTCTCTGATCAGCTGGACCATGTCTCCACTCTTAACAGACAGCTCCTGAGGTCCCGCTTTCTCGCAGTCTGCTACCACAGTATACTTTCCTGGAGCCTAAAAGGATCAAATGTTAACAACTTTACCAACTTTTAGAACCACACTTTAACATTTTAAGCTAAAAAAGAAATAAAAATACAAATCTATAATAATTCTTCATTCTCAGGCTCACCAGCTTCTTTCCTACTTCGTCCTCGGGGTCAGAGTTCATGGGGTCCTCGCCGCTGGAGTACCCATCGTTCTCTTCTGAGGCGTCCGCTGAGAGAGACGCCTTGTTCCAGCCTGTAGGTTGGATGATGGGAAAATCAGAGAGAGAAAAGTTCAACACACAGACAACAAAAAAGGGGGCAAAAGGAGAGAAGTGAGGTCGATCTTTATCACAAAGCTCCATGTTAAATCAAGTGAGATTAGATGTTTGAGCTCAATAGTGAAGTACAGAAAAATGACATGAATGGATCAAATATTTGCGAAAGCCACACAAATCTCCTGTGTGGAGGGTAACCCCCTCCCCCCCAAAAAATGTGATCGATCAGATTATGAAAAATTTATCTGTTTAGATACAAAAACCACACACACTCCTCCAAAAGTCACAGAGAAGATCATCAGACAGAAAGAAAAGGAGGACCTGTGATCAGAAAACAGATTTCAATCACCTGCATTTGTTACAAGGCTGCTCTGACTCCCAGTGCCGAAAAATAGTTGCTGAAGCGGCGTACTGTGTACAGCACCACAACAACCCCAAACAAGCAAAAAACACCCGACAGCAGAAGAAGAGGCAATGATTGATTTGAGGTCGAGTAGGCACCGTGCAAAAAGATTTCGCCTAGAACTGAGACTTCAGATTTAGTCAGGTTGAATCTTTAGATCTCGCTCCATTGTGCAAAAAGACAGTAAGACTCGGTAAAAGGCTAAAGGACTCCCACGGCAGATACACGCTGCGACACTTTACCTCAGTTCAAATCAATCACGAGCACCCACAAACAACAGCAAACACCCCACTGTGGCTGCTGATGCTCAGAGCAGCTCTGTACCTCGCCGCTTGCTCTGTAACAGACTAGAGGTGCTCATCCATCTGACTCTGCTCAGAGTGACGTGGGGAGCCGGCTCTGAAGGGGAAGAAACGGCCAGCAAAATAAAAATAAAAATCAGTGACAACCAGCCTGTGGTGTTGGTGACAACGGCTCAGCTGATCAAGCATCACTGAAATGCACAAGATACCAGACATGTAACAGTGATGATGATGATGATGACCTGTGGATGAAGGTTACAAAGTTGGTCTCTGCTGTGCGACTATCTGCATGGGTGAAACTCAAACCAGCCTTTGGAAACATTTCATTGTTCTAAATCGTAAATGCACCAGATTCCAATTGGGCAGTTTTAGCAAACAAAGCAACACAATACAAATATATCACTGCCATTTTAGCTGCTTCTATTACTCATTTGAAGACATGCAGATAGTCGCTATGATCAGCAAGAGGATGAAGAACAGCCTCTATATTGATGGACCGATGGGTTGCTACAACGTTACACCCCGTTTGTAACGAAACGTGTCAAATCTACATTATGGAGACAATCGAAGCAGGAGTACATCGTGGTCAAGTGAGATGGCCTCTAAAATGAAATGCTCCCTCATAATGGGGCGGAAATATACCTTTGAACCCAAACGGTGTGGGATCGCTCTTTACCAGGTGGCGTTTGGAGCTGTGCTCAGGGCTCAGAGTCGAGCCTGGCCACACAGGAAGGAAAGACGTGAAGGAGGAAGAAGAGAAGAAAAGTGAGGGAGGACAGAAGCGAGAAGGAAGCAAGAAATTAACACTAACGTTAGAAGTTTGTACATGATGTGAACAGTCTTAGCTAATCAATAGCCAAACACACACACACACTCACACACACACACCATTACAGTGGTGGATACTCATATTAAATTTGGTCAAATGTAAAGATAAGCATGAAGCTAAACCCTGTGAGCACACAAGCACAACTCAGCTGCTGTCCAAACTCCTGCTTTAGAAGAGCAGCCAATCAGAAGGAGGTCGTCTTAAAATCAGTAGAGCTATTTAAAAAAAAACAAAAAAACAAAAAGTCTTGTAGCAGATAGGACAAAGTGAGCATGTGGAAAAAGGCCCGCTATAGGCTAAATAACTGAGCTGAGAGCCCAAGAATTTAAAAAAAAAATGAAGATGTCACCTTTAAAGTTTTGACTAATACTGCTTTCAAGAAGAGGAGCTTCTACTTCACTTTCACCTCTACTCCAGTGACTAGTTGTATTTTTTTCCAATATAATTTAAAAACCTTAATATTCATTTTGATTCAGCCACAATGGCAGTGTTAAACTTTCACCACCAGGAGGCAGACTGTCTCCAACATAACCATCGGGGATCATGTGTGCTCCATTAGGCCGTGAAGCAGGTTAGACTGGAGGAGGCCGATTAATTATTGGGCACCGGGTAAAAGCTCAGACAGAGGCTCACATTCAGAACTGGATTCTGGATATTAGTATTCTTAGTTTATATAGCGAAGGGTGTTTCTTGCTGATAATCAATTGAACTTTTCATCACTGACAAACGACATACTGTGACGGGCCACGCTGAGCTGTTCTTAGCATTATCCTTCCTTTAAAAAAATGTTTGCATTCGCTAATGTTACCTTTGGGACTCTTGAGATTGCTGAAGCCCTGCAAAGTAAAACGCTTTTTGGCCACTGAGGACCTGTCAGGGGTCGGACTGGTCACCGGCTCTTCTGGAAGCAATGATTTGAAATGAGTGCAGGACAAGGGCAGCCATGAAAAGAGAGAAGAAGCCCCAAACAGGGGAGAGGAGAGAGAAAGATGATAGATGAAGACAAAAAGAACCTGGTTTAGTGGAAGTTTAGAGCACAGCTTAGAGTAGGGACTTAGATAAAAGTGTTATTGTCTTCGAAGATGCTGTTTAACTCAAACATCTACCTTTGTGTTTCGGCGAGGATGACGAGTTGCTGTCAGAGGTCGGGGCTGGCTCAGTCTTCTTCTCCTCTTGCTTCTTCTGGTTCTTCTGACCGCTGCTACGGAAAGGGCTGCAAAAAGAAAAAAAAGATAAAAAAATAGACGTATGTTTGATTTTTTTCCTTATTATCTCTAATCTGTCTAATGAGTCCTTACGTTACATGTAAGCCACCAACCTGAGAGAGATGGAAGTAGAGTTGTTGCTGGTGGGACTTGGGGACATAGAGTCTGAGCTCTTCTGCTGGCTGGCATCTAAAACATACAACAACAACAACAACAAAAAACAAAAGTATTAAAAAAGGAATAAAATAGGTTTAAAAATAAAAACTTCTGGAAAAGTTAAGAAAGAAGTTTTCACAATACCTCTGCAGGCTTTGAGCTGCTGAGTCAAAACTTTGCGGATCTCGTTCACCCATGCCGTTTTAATCTCCGGCGTCGGGGCCTAGATTAGAACAAGCGCGGACAATCATTCCTCATCTCTAAAGGTATGATTAATAAAAGCAATCAGGTCGAACGCCCTTACCTGCACTATAAAAACTTCTTCTCTCGAGTTGCACCAGATCTCAAACTTCTTGTTGTCTCCCTTGGCATTCTCTGTGATGCCCACCGCACTCATCTGAAAGAATATAGAAAACTTAAACACTAAATCTTTACTGCTACGGCACGGCATCGACCTTCCTTTTAAAAATGGAGCAAGCGGGCTCACACTGAGGGAGTGTTTGAAGCTGTAAGACGGAGCTTTCTCGTAGCCCTCCCCGTTCTCCTCTCTCCTCTTGCAGAAGAGCAGGGCCTTCTGGTGCAGGAACAGGTGCCTCTGCATGGGCTTAAACCTGGCCAGGTCCTTCACTTTGGCATGACCTTTCTTATGCTCGGTCCACACGCTGAAGGAGCCCTGCATCAGCAGACGACCCAGCTCTGACAGGTTACCCTAACAGGGTGAAAAGACAGATGCGTGTTTTTGCATTGCACGACCTCTCTGAAAGCCGATAAATAATAAATTCTGGTAGCTTATTGCCAAAACTGTCCTGTAATTATAAAGCAGAACATTTTTGTTCATTTACTTTTTTGTCATTTAATTGTTTACCTATTACTCGTCAGTGAGTGGGACAAGTACAGTATACATACAGTTAAACCAATTAAAACATTTACACCTTCCTTCACATTTTCTAAAACCTTTACTGGGCAAATTCTGGCTCCTGGACCTTATGTTAAAGTTTTGCAGCATTGCAGTTTTGAAACTGGCCACATGATGGAGCTATTGCGACTGTTTTTGACTCTGGCTTTGCACCTTTGCACAGGTAGCAGTGTTTCAGCTCTGTAGCCTTTAATGTTTTTAGATATTTGATTATATGTACTTAAAAAACAAAGAAACGTTTTAGCCTGGAGGGGGAAAAAAGCAGATAAGAAAAGTGGGAAGAGAGTTGGCAGAGAGCACTTAGGGGAGAGTCTGGGGTGTACTCATGCCCAGGCCCTGTAAACCCCAGCAGCTCTTGTTAAAGAATAATTAACCTGCTCTGTATTTTAAAAGAACACACGCTAGATATCCCATTCAAGGCAGTTTAAAATGATTTGACCACCTCCAGCAAAGTTTGCAAACGCAGTGTACTTCTTCTAACCTCATATCCTGTGATGGCAATGAGATGCATGGAGTCATTAACGGCTTTGAGAATCCCAAGAATGGAGGACAGCGCTTCCTGTAGGTCGTCACAACCATCACAGCCCTTGCTGTACTTCAACATCTCCTGCAAACATTGAAAAAAGAAAACAGTGAGTCATTCCCCCTCTTACATAACAGGTGTACATAATACATGAACAGAGCTGACCTTAAGCAGTAGCTGGTACTTGGTGATTCTCTGGACGGGTTTAAGGAGGTAGGAGTCCAATCCAAGTTTATGTTCCAGCTTCTTCTGGCACTCCTGGTGTATAAAACATGAGCCGGTTAAGATTTAAGTTTTATATTGCTTAAAAGTGAAAAGGAAGGCGGTGCTACAGCCGTGAGGGCTGACCTGGAAGAAGGCACAGTCGGAGCACTGTCTCCACAAGCTCTCGGAGCGAGGTTTATTTTGGCAGTAAGCCTCGTAGATCTGCAGGTCCTTCATCTGCAGCGAAAACAATCATTAGCAAGTCAGTACGAGCTCAACCGCTGTTGACGGAAACATTGCTGTTGATGCGATGTACAAGAAAATAAAAGTGCTCACCCGTTCTAAAAAGCAGCGGCCCACCAGCTCTGGGCAGTCAGTGTATGCTTCCAGTTCCTTCAGGAATGTCCTTGAGACAGGAAAGAGAGGTATAAATACTCAAACTATGAACAACATTTGTAAAGCACCCACATATATAATCAATTAGCTTAAAAGTGTACCTCTTGTGAAACTGGTAGATTTCTGGCATGTTCCCAAACAGGATGTCCTTCTTGCTGTGCAGGTTGCTGGGGATGAGGTGAGCCATGGCAGGGTTGTCCATCTCTGCCGCATAGCCCTGGATTTTAACATCACACATTTAGTAAGAGCTTCAGCCTTTTCACCAATTAATGTCAGGTCACGGTATCATTACCGACACCGCTCACCTCCAGCACACACAGCAGCTCCTCGACATAAGCTCTCTCCGTCTCCAGCAGCTCGTTCATCACGTGACTGAAATGTACACACACACACAACACAAAATACAATGCGGACTACAAAGAACAAGCAGCATGATTGCCAAATAATTGCTTTCCTATCTAGGGCTCTGGGGAAAGGACTTTGACCCCTTACCGGCGAAGCACTGCCAAGTTTTCTTCTTCTTCTGATAGAGAAGCATGTCTTGTGCCACCGTTGTGTACAGGAGACTCCACCTTAAAAAATAAATAAATCACACACAGTCATGCATGTTTAGTATTTATCACCCACTTAAAACCTTTATTGTATCACACAACATTTGTAGAAATGATAAGAATTTACCTTTTTGGAGAGGGCATTATCAGCAGAGTATCTCCTGTCTTTTCTCTCTAGATCTGATTAGAAAAAAACATCATTACGTTTAGATTCGTCCTTCTCATCCTAATCAAACCACCACTAAACGAGTAAAAGATACCTCGTTTGACATCAGTTCCTGGCACTTGTTCTTCTTTAAACCAATTACAGATGGCTACTTACGGGGAGAAGAATGCGGTGACTTGACTTCAGGCCTTGGAGCTACTGGCTGGACTGGTCTCGTCTGTTTAGCGGCGAGTTTCTTCAGGCTGACGCGTCTCTTCTCGAACATCTCCTGGACGGAGCTTTGCTTCTGGAAAACTCTCTCTATCTGGTCCTAAAGGAGGATGGAAAATATTGCAGCTCAATGTGAAATATGATAAAGGTATCACACATTAAAAATTTAAACTGAAAATCTTCTCACGGACCCTGAGCTGAGAGTTGAGCACCGCCTCGTACTGGCAGCAGATGGCGCTGCGGTCAGTGAGGGTGTGCAGGGATGCTGTATCCAAGTATCGCTCCAGTTCTTGTAGAGCTGCTTCTGCCCCGTCCTGAGACTGACAGCGGTCCACTGGCTGGTTAGCCAACAGGAAGATGCCTTCCTCACACCAGTGCGACGCCTTTGAGGGGGGGAAATACCAATGAGTGCTTCTAAGGATACAGCGCATTTCTTGTGGACGATTAATGAAGCCTTCCTCACACTCTTACCTCCTCCAGAGCGTGGTGGAGCTCCATGGCTCTTAGCAGGAGGCTCTTTTTGCTCCTCAGAGTGGAGCTGATCTCCTCACACACTCCTCTCAGTTCGGTGCACTTTGGCCTGATGGAGTCCTCAGCGTAGTGGGAGTTTTCTATCAGCCTGTCACCTTCACTGACCAAGGACAAGGCGAGGTCTAAGATGTCCTTTCAAAACACACCAAAACAATTGCAATTATTGGAATATATCTTCATTATAAGTCAGAATATACAGAATTCTGCCTCAGCAGCAGAGCCGGACACAATAGTATATACTGGTATTCAGCATTTTGAAGATCTATAGAGATTCTGCACGAACAGAGGACTGATAATGCTGAGCATGTCTTTTTGAACCACATGAGCAAGACTGCGTGTGCAATTGTGTGTACTTACTCGGGCTTTATCCTCGTGGCCGCTGAGCTCTCTGAGGACGTGCTCTGCATGGGCGGGGCTTACGCTGACCTCGGAGAAGCCCGACAATCGCTCGGACGTCACATCGAGTTGGGCGCGCACCTGAGGAGCACAGGGATTGATAAGCACGTCATTTTCCGAGATTTGGATTGGAGATGAGAGGATGACTCTTGACTCACTTCACGGAAGTGCTGCTCAAAATGGCGGAGGTGCAAACACTGCTCCAGCTTGGTACGGTGGCGCTCCCAGAAATCGTCAAATGCCATCTCCGTCTCATCCAGCTGACCTAGGAGTCTGAAAGGGGAAAGGAGGCAAATGAGAAGCGATGGGAGACAAAAGAGGACATTTATTCATGCATGCAGGGGCAACTTCATTTTTTATTTATGCATCCTTCAGTTTAGTCCTCCACCTCTGCACAGTGGCCAAGTTTTCCTGTTCATCATGCGTCATGTTGTATTCGGGGTCTGCCTTGAGAGGCTCGTTGATGCAATCCAGCAGCCGTCCTCCTTGTGACTGCGCCACCCTCAGGTCCTCCTGGAAATTCAAACCATTTTAAAAACTTTCTAAAAGCAACAAAAAGAGAAAAAGAAGTTTGCCACAAAAACAGAAAAGCATCGCCAACCTTCATCGTATCCTTTTTCAGTGTGTGCGTCTGCAGCAGGATGGTGGTGGCCTCAGCATCGTTGGGTAACTCGGTCTCTGCAAGCTCAGTGCCAAACGCTTGCAAGGTCTGAGCCGTGGTCTTCACCATGAGGGCGAAGGCCTCAATGGCCTGTGGCGGGCATACACGTATGCATATGTATGTGGCAGAGAAAAAATAAGTCAGAACATACATAAATATATATATTTAAAGAAATCGGGGACAAAATAGTCATGTGTGTGTACATACAGTGCGGTGTGAGATCCAGCTGTCATGGTGGTATTCCTGTGTGCCTCCCAACTCTTTGGTTAGTTGTCCTGGATCGATATACGCATGGAGCTCAGTCACAGAACTCAGCATCACCACCTGACACACACACACACACACCCAAACTGATTAAATGAAATACTATCACACATTTATTTTGAGATGAATACAAACATAAACATAAGTTACAACAGTGACGACAGCTCTACACTAGCTAAAATAATAATTGTGCTCTCAGTGACTCACAAGGGAGCCATTACGTAAAGACAAAGTGCTGCGGTGTATTAGTCATACCTTCATCTTGAACTCATCCCTGTTGAACTTGAACAGGAAGTCCGACAGAGTCCGCTGGAACAAAGTAGTGGGACGCAACACCAGAACCAAGTGTAAGTTCCCGGGAAATGAACCCTTACAGAGAAAGGAGGACAGGGAGTCGGATTAGACAGTGATCAATACCTTACGCTTACGTCTACCCACAAATTATCCCAAGAAATTTCAATAACTGAGGTGTGCAGAAGAGCATCTCTGAATGCCAAAGCTTGAAAGATATGGGCTACAACAGCAGAAGACCATAATGAAAACTTGAAATTGAGGTTTCAATTCACAAGCTTAACAAAATTTTATAATAGAAGACTGAAAAAACGTTGCCTGGTCTGATGACCATATCTGCTGTAGGGTCAGAATTTGGCATAAATGACATGAAAGCATGGATCCATCCTGCTTTGTATCAGCGGTTCAAGCTGGTGTCAACAGCGTTAAAATCGAATCTGTGACATGAAGCCATGAAGAAGAGCAAGGTGCACAAGATAAAATGCATTTCATGTCAAGTGTTTTCATCTGATGAGTGCCTGCTAGATGAAGTGCTGCACATTTTGGCACAGAGGCTTTGACCGAACAGAACAGAAAAAAGCTCTCGGTTAAACTGAAGTCGATGTAACAGCCCTCCCTATATAACTACCTCAGAAGCAATGCTGTGCTCATAGCCTAAAGCAAAGTTGACTTTAACACACTGTAAATTTGTGAGATATAAGGTTCACAGTTGTGCCAGTCCAACTGTATAGTCTCTCGATCCTGACAGTAATAAAGGCAGAGCCCTGGTTTAACGGTGCAGCTCCTGAGTGAGGCATTAAACAAACCTCACATCCGTGCCCACTGTCCCACTGCTGCAATCCCAAACCAGCAGTAAAGAGATTTAAGAGCGTTTAACATCTAATAAATCTGCTGCGTTTCTTCACTGCAGTTCCCCTGCAGCAGCTCTCACCTAGAAAGCTGTGACTGCAGTGTAATGTTATTAGTCCTGTGACTTTGGGGAGTAGCTGCAGCATTTGGTCTGTCCACCTCCACACTAGCAAGTTAAAAACACAGAACTGCCTTCAGACAGGCAGCAGCTCTGGAGGCCACTCAGCTGAAAGGCTATATCGGTTGTGGCTTCCTCTAAATCCCCGAGTGAATTGCTCCGCCCTGTTAGACATCGTAAATCAATGCAGGATGACATGTGGTCACACACACACACACACACACACACACACACACACACACACACACACACA